AAAGCAGAGTCTTGCCGCCCCATGATTGCAAATGACTGTGGTTGGTTCTCAGCACATATCAGACCTCTCAATTTTACACAACATAATAAAGGGTTCTATCTCATATTATGTAAATATTCAGAAGAAAAACTTAATCCAGAAACTAAAATGACCATAAAAGAGAGTAAGAGACATTAAATCCAGAAGAGAACATAAGACATGAAAACACAAGATTTTTGAAAAATAAATGCACAAGTGAGAATTGTCAACAGAATGGAGAACTGTAAGTCTCTGTTCTAGACACAACTCAGAATAGTTTAAAAGAAGTAGGTAAACTCATAGGCCCACCTCCCTGTAAGTGACTATCACCCACTCTTTAAGAAAACTGAAAGATTAACTCTAGAAAGGGTGGATCAGAAGGTCTCTGGAATTAGGAAATTCAGATATACTTGATGTAGCAGGTTACAGCGCCTTATTGAAATCTGGGGAAGTCTGCATTCTGAGTATGTAAGATTACCAAATCCTTTTATCTCCTTCCCAACCCAAAAGAAAAATAGCAGTACATACTCATACAGGACAAAAGTAGAGGATTTCACTCAAAAACAGTCCTATTGATATAGACAATTGGAAGATCCCAAAATACATGGCCTAGTCAAATGGAACCACAGTAGTATCTACTTATTGAAAGCCTATGCATGGAGCTTAGAAAGACTTTCTAGCATTGTTAGTTCATTGCTCTCAAATTTGAGACAGTTAATAATTCAAGGCATTTGAAGCAGCATCCAAAATAAAAGCCTGAATACAAGAATCACAGAAAACAGATGGTGCAAAGGGGAAGTAAAAATTTTAGGGGCCGGCACCATGGCTCACTTGGTTAATCCTCCGCCTGCAGCGCCAGCATCCCATATGGGCACCAGGTTCTAATCCCGATTGCTCCTCTTCCAGTCCAGCTCTCTGCTGTGGCCCATGAGGGCAGCAGAGGATGCCCCAAGTGCTTGGGTCCCTGCATCCGCATGGGAGACCAGGAAGAAGCACCTGGCTCCTGGCTTCAGATTGGCACAGCACCAGCCGTGGCAGCCATTTGGGGAGTGAACCAAAGGAAGGAAGACCTTTCTTTCTCTCTCACTGTCTATAACTCTACCTGTCAAAAAAAAAAAACAAAAAACAAAAAACAACAAAAAAAAAAACTTTAAAACACAAAAAAAGTATGCACCAAGAAGACATCACAGTATTTTACAATACCGGAAGATAAAGAGAGATTGGAAACTCAAATTAATATAAGTGGGTTACCTCCCCTTATAGAAATTGGATTCAAATGGCATTAAATATTTTAATAGGGAGGCTTAAAGTTCTGCACTGAGGAAGTAACTTCCAGAATTCTGGGAAAAATCCATAACCTAGAATACCAAACCAAAACTCAGCAAATGTGGGCATACAACAAAAACACTGCCAGACACACAAGTTCTGAAAACATTCATTTCCCTTTAATTCCTTTCTCAGGAAGACATACTCCAAAATGAGGGTATAAACCAAGGAAGAGAGAGATGTATAACACAAAACAAGACAGACAGTTATAAAACAACAAACAGTGAACAGGAATACATAGGTAAAGGAGATTCCATATAGATTCTGTTTATTCCAGGATAAAGAATACTATTGGGTGGGAACGATAGTGTGTACTTGGGATCAACTATTCAATCTCTGGATCTGTTAAAACATACTAAGAGATTTATACTTCTGGAGAGTTTGGATATGTTAATCATAGGTAGAAAAAGTTCCACTAATCACTGAGTTAAAAAACTTTATAAGAGCGAAAACACAATCAAAGCATATTCAGTGATTATCCAGAGAATAATATTTATAAGATCATATCTAGGGCCGGCGCCGCGGCTCACTAGGCTAATCCTCCACCTTGCAGCGCCGGCACACCGGGTTCTAGTCCCAGTCAGGGCGCCAGATTCTGTCCCAGTTGCCCCTCTTCCAGGCCAGCTCTCTGCTGTGGCCAGGGAGTGCAGTGGAGGATGGCCCAGGTGCTTGTGCCCTGCACCCCATGGGAGACCAGGATAAGTACCTGGCTCCTGCCATTGGATCAGCGCAGTGCGCTGGCCACAGCGCGCCGGCCCCGGTGGCCATTGGAGGGTGAACCAACGGCAAAGGAAGACCTTTCTCTCTGTCTCTCTCTCACTGTCCACTCTGCCTGACAAAAAAAAAAAAAAAATCATATTTATAGTAATTATATTGATCCAGTAAAAAAGTTATATATGTACACACTAAAAAGATCTGTGAACCATTATGACATGTTCACATAAGATATGGCAGCATTCTAGAAATATTTATGAAGTTCTGAATCACATGGGGAGTATAAACACAAGGAAGATTTAAGAACAACCCCTACCCCCCCCCCAAAAAAAAAAAAAAACCTCCAAGATTTTGGTATAAACAACTGGAATAATAGGGCTGGTATTTACTGAAACAGGGAAAACGCAAAAGAAGCAAGTTAAAGATCGATAGTTCTGATGTGACACAGTTTCAGTTATCAGGGACCCAAGTAAAATTGTTAAGTAGGCAGTTAGATATGTGAATTTATGGTTCAGGAGAAAGGTTCTGGCTGGAGATATAAATTTGAGTCCTAACAATTGTTGGTATTAAAGATACAAGGTGGGGACCGGTGCTGTGGCATAGGGGTAAAGCCGCCACCTGCAGTGCTGGCATCCCATATGAGATCTGGTTCACGTCCCAGCTGCTCCATTTCTAATCCAGCTCTCTGCTATGGCCTGGGAAAGCAGCAGAAGAAGCAGGGTCCTTGGGAACTTGCACCCACGTGGGAGATCTGGAAGAAGCACCTGGCTCCTGATCGGCACAGTTCCTGCTGGGGCAGCCATTTGGGGAGTGAACCAGTGGTTGGAAGACCTCCCCGCCCCCGTCTCTGCATAACTCTGCCTTTCAAATAATAAACAAATCTTTTTTGAAAAATAAATAAATAAATAAATAAAGATACAAGGTAAGACTACCAGGATCAGATAAATAAGAAAGAAGTGTAAATGACTAAGAGTCATAAAAGTAGCAAGGAGAATTGGGCAAATGTGTTTCCTGGAAGCCAACTAAACAAACTGTTTCATGGAATCAGCAATTAGATGGTCAAGTAAAATGAAGTCACAGAGCTTCCTGAAATTTCAGAGGAATGGTGGGAATGTAAAACTGACTAGAAAGATTCAGAAAAAAATGGAAGAGGGCAAATGGAAAACAATGAATGCAGCTTACCTTTGCAACTAGCAGACTACAAAAAGAAATGAGGCTTTTCAGCTGGCTCTGGTTGGGGCAGACAATATATCAACAGTTAACAGAAAAAGAGGGATGAAGAACATATGCTAGGTTAGCAGATGCATTGGTGACAATTTTTAAAAGATCTTTTCTGCTTGCTCCTATTTTGTCAGTGCAACAGGAAGCAAGGTGAAAGGGAGCAGTTATGAAAATGTCATTTAAGAAAATGTAACAACAGAGAAGGTCACAATCAAATTTCAAGCAAGTTAGTATACTTGGGTGGTGAACATTTTTACTTACAAAGAACCTGCTCTATAGTCTGTCTCTTTGATCAAAGTGTCTCAAATGGTTTTTTTGTTGTTGTTATTAAGTCCTTGTAACATCATCCTAAATCACTGACCATGTTAGAAACATACCAGGGGACTCCAATTTAATCCCATCAAGGTGGCATGTACCAATGCCATCTCACTAGTCCAAGTGATCAATTTCAGTTCACAATTGATCATAATGAAAGGACTAAGAGTCAAAGGAAGCACATAAACAAGTCTAGTACCTGCTAATACTAACCGATAGAATATTAAATAAAGGGGAGAGTGATCCAACATGGGAAGCAAGATACTCAGCAGACTCACAGAATGGAAGATGTCCTAAACAGCACTCTGGCCTCAGAATCAGCCCTAAAGGCATGCCGATCTGGCTGAAAAGCCCATGAGAGTATTTCAGGCATGGAAAGCCAAGACACTCTGGCAAAAAAAAAAAAAAAACAAACAAACAACCCCTAAATGAAAGATCTCTGTGAGTGAGATCGCAGTGGAAAGAACAGGTCTTCAAAGAAGGAGGTACCTTTCTCTGAAGGGAGGAGAGAACCTCCACTTTGACTATGACCTTGTCTAAACAAGATAAGAGTCGGAGAACTCAAGGGGCTTCCATAGCCTTGGAAACTCATGACTGGAGCATAGGGAGATTACTGATGCCATAAACAGGAGTGTCAATTTGTAAAGTCAACAACAGGAGTCACTGTGCACTTACTCCTCACGTAGGATCTCTGTCCTTAATGTGCTGTACATTGAGACTTAATGCTATAACGAGTACTCAAACAGTATATTTCACTTTGTGTTTCTATGGGGATGCAAACTGTTGAAATCTTTACTTAATGTATACTAAACTGATCTTCTGTAAAAAAAAAAAAAAAAAAGAAGAAGAAGAAATTATCAATTCCCAACTTGACTCTCACTGGGATTAAACATGACAATAGGTCTGATCTGATTTCATCATCATTTAAAAAATTTTCACTTTATGTTTGTGTGGGAGCAAACTGTTGAAATCTTTACTTAATGTATGCTAAATTGATCTTCTGTATATAGAGAGAATCAAAAATGAATCTTGATGTGAATGGAAGGGGAGAGGGAGTGGGAAAGGGGAGGGATGCGGGTGGGAGGGACGTTATGGGGGGGAAGCCATTTTAATCCATAAGCTGTACTTTGGAAATTTATATTCATTAAATAAAAGTTAAAAAAAAAAATTTTGTTCTGCATATCACTTCCAATTTCTGGTCTCTTGTCAAGACCATACTTAACAGTTTTTTTTTCCAGAATGCTAACCCAACTTTCCCTGTGCCAACCCAACTTCCAGTTGAAATCTTTATATGATACACTACTATTGACTAAAACTAAGATAGCATAATGTTGAATTTCAATGCCAGTCAAGCCCACTGCTATTATTTCAAATATTATTTTCCTGACAAAACAATTTTCATGAGATCATCTTACAATGAATATTTATTGGGTAATCTTAGCAACTCTAAAACAATTTTTTAAACAGAAGCCATAATCTCAATCACCCCTCCCGTCAAAAGCCTATTCCATAACTGAAGTAGCAACACTCCAGGAAATGTACTGTTAAAAGAAAGGGGGAAAAAAAGACATCTACTAAACTTCCACAGGAAGACTGTATAAATCTGGCAGTGGATTATGTACACATCAGCCTCTACCCCTCATACTACTCAGTCTCAAAAATCAAAACTTAATATAAATCTTTTCATTCTTAATAAAGCTCAGAAAATTATAAATCTATGAAGTATGTGATGGTAATCAATAATTACATTATGTAAACAGATATAATCAAAAAAAGTAAAATAGACAATCCGGATTTCAGAACCAACATAAGTAAATCAGTGGATGTAAACAAGAATTTTTAAAGGCAACTCTTTAGTTCCAATTTAAAACAAACATTCAGGACTGGAATCTTCTGAATTTTCTAATATCTTGAATAGCCCCATCTTCTCTTTAATTGATCCTGATGCATTCATTTGATCTAAAAAGAGAAAAATTAAAATAGATGAAATCAGAAAAGAAATTTGTGTACATGCCATAGTACCTGTCCCAAAAATATGAAAACCCACAAAAAGGTGGGATACTCTTAATCTTATCAATAAAGGATTAAGAATACAAGTAAAAAAGTACACTCCTGTTAGAATCAGCGTCTAGGAAATAATCTCGGACATCAAAATCTCCTTTGCTGAATTTAAGACACACAAATTACACATTAATAAACAGAATGCCAATTTGAATTATGTTTTTAGAGATGTTTTCAAAAGAAGTCTATTCACAATTAATTTAAAAACTAGAAAGCAGGGCACTGTGAAAAATTTACCAGTACAAACATTCCAAAGTATTATAAAATGTAGTCTCATAAATTTCTGTCAATTTTGCAGCTATGTAATGAATCTGATTTTAATTTGAAGTATTTTTTAAATTTTTAGTTATTTATTTATTTGAAAGGCACTGAGAGAGAAGCAGAGATCTTGCATCCACTGATTCATTCCCCAATTACCTAAAATAACTGGAAGTCCAGAACTCAATCTTGGCCCCAACATGCATGGCAGGGACCAAAGTTGTAGAGCTATCATCTGGGGCCTGCCAGGGTGCACGTTAGAAGGAAGCTGGAATGGAAGTGGAGGTGGGACTCAAACTCAGGCACTCCAGTGTGCAATGTGGCTATCAAAAGTGGCATCATAACTGCTGTGCTGTCTACCCACGGCATTACTTTAAAAAAAAAATTTATTTATTTGAAAGTCGGAGTTACACAGAGAGAGGAGACACAGAGAGAGAGAGAGGTCCTCTATCCACTGATTCACGCCCCAACTGGCCACAAAACGGCCAGAGCTGCACCGGAGCAGAAGTCAGGAAATAGGAAACTCCACGCGGGTGGCAGGGTCCCAAGGATTTGGGCCATCTTCTACTGCCTCCGCATGCCATAGGAGAGAGCTGGATTGGAAATGGAGCAGCAGGAACTCGAACCAGTGCCCATATGGAATACTGGCACTGCAGGCAATGGCTCTACCCACCATGCCACAGCACTGGCCCCCACTCCATTACTTTTATTTTCTTTTTAATATTGAGTACAGACTTTCCTTTTTCTTTCTTTCAGTTTTTTTTTTTTTTTATTCAGTTTTTCTTTTGAAGGATTTATTTATTTGAAAGGCAGATTGAAAGAGATCCTGTATCTGGTAGTTTCACTCCCAAAATGACCAAAACTACCATCATCTGCTGCCTCCCAAGCCTATTAACAGGAAGCTGAACTCAAAGTAGAGGCTGGGGGCCGGTGCTGTGGCGCAGCGGGCAGAGCCACCGCCTCCAGTGCCGGCATCCCATATGGGTGCTTGTTGGAGTTCCAGCTGCTCCACTTCCAATCCAGCTCTCTGCTATGGCATAGGAAAGCAGTAGAAGATGGTGCACTGGGCCCCTGCACCTACATGGAAGAGCCAGAAGAAGCTCCTGGGGGCCGGTGCTGTGGCTCAACGGGTTAACGCCCTGGCCTGAAGCACCAGCATACCATTTGGGCGCCAATTCTAGTCCCAGCTGCTGCTCTTCTGATTCAGCTCTCTGCTACGGCCTGGGAAGGCAGTAGAAGATGGCCCAAGTCCTTGGGAACCTGCACCCGCACAGGAGACCCAGAGGAAGCTCCTGGCTTTGGATCGGTGCAGTTCCAGCCATTGTGGCCAATTGGGGAGTAAACCAAAAAATGGAAGACTTCTCTCTCTCTGCTTTTCCTCTCTCTGTGTAAGTCTGACTTTCAAATAAATAAATAAATTTAAAAAAAAAAAAAGAAAGATAAAAAAAGAAAGTAGAGGCAGGACTCTATATCAGGTATGAGATGTGGGTGCCCCAAGCAGCACTTCTCCACAATGCCCACTCCAACAGCACACGATTCTGTCTGTTCTAGGGGTCTTTAATGTAATAAAAATCTATCAATTTTTTGAAAATTTGTGTGTACTGTATATTACTTAGGCATCCTTTTATAATTTTAAGCTCATAGCTAAATTTTCCTCTCTCAAACTTTTGCTAATAATTTCAATATATAGATGGCTAGTTTATCTACAATTTTCTATGAACAGTGTGAAGTGAGGAGGATCTGTTTATCCTCTTCCCCCATTGATTACAAATTGCTCCAGAATCATATACATAAATTAATAAAAATTTTCCCTGTCTTGTTTGAAAGGCCATTTTTGGATACTTATCTTCTCCCAAACATCTAGTCATCTTTATAGGTTCACCATATAATAACTAGCAAATTTATCTCATCAAGTGCTCATTCAACAATCTTGAGAATCATATCTTTTAATAACACTTTATATCTAATTATAGAGTATCTTGTTCTTCAAAATTTCTTGGTCTTGATACTTTATTCTTCCATGCAATATGTAACAATAGTCTGTCACAGTTCTTTAAAAAGTCACAATGGGACTTTAATCAGAAGAGCAAGTCAAGTTTAGGGAATAATAACTTTAACAATATATATATATATATGTATATACATATATATGACACAAGGTTTATTTATTTTTCTGAAAGGAGAGAGAGAGAAAAAGAGAGTAATGAATTCCATCTGCTGGCTCACTCCCTGTATGGCCAGAAAGGCCAGAATTGGTGTGGGCCTAAGTACTTGGGACATCTACTACTACTTTCCCAGGCTTATTATAATGCAGGGAGTTGAATCAGAAGTGGAGGAGTCAGGACTTGAATCTGCACTCTGATATGAGATGCCAGTGTTTCAACCAGAGGCTTAATCTGTTTTATCACAACACCAGCCCCTATCTTTTATATTAAATATTTTTATAAATATAGTTTAGTCTATACATTTACTTTTTCTGTTACTATGCTTTGCTGCTTAATAATTTTGTCCATGAAGAAATTGTTATATTTATTTCTAGAAATGGTACCCTACATTATCCACTAAATAATTATTGCTGATCTCATACTGTAAATTTATAATCAACCTAGAATTCTATGCTATTTGAAAGTTAAAACTCAAATCAACAGCAAGTAATCCGAAACAGCTAACATAAACTTGAAAAATGACAAAACTAAAAGACTTACACTTCCCACAAAATAACGGTAATCATAAGTATGGTATTGGCATTGGATTGATAAACAGATCAGACAGAACTCATAATACAGAAGTAAACCATTACATTTATAATCAATGGATTTAACAAAGATGACAAAGCAATTCAACAAGCAAATGATAATCTTTTAAAAAACAATGTTGGAACCATTGGATACTTACCTGCAAAAAAAATAACATATCCTTACCTCATATTCTACATAAAAAGTAACTCAAAATTGATCAAAGACCTAAAATACAAGATCTAAGACTATAAGAAAACACATTAAGCTTAGGTAAGGCAAAGACTATTTAGATACAACACAAAAACACTAATAGGAAAAACCTTGATGAAACTTTATCAAAATTTTAAAAATATTCTCTACAAAGGACACCAATTAAGAAAGTGAATGGCTGGTGCCGCGGCTCACTTGGCTATTCCTCCACCTGCAGCACCGGCACCCTGGGTTAAAGGCCTGATCTGAAGCGCCAACATCCCATATGGGCACTGGTTCTAGTCCCAGCTGCTCCTCTTCCGATCCAGCTCTCAGCTATGGCCTGGGAGAGCAGTAAAAGATGGCCCACGTCCCCTGTGCCCACATGGGAGACCCAGAAGAAGCTCCTGGCTTTGGATCAGCACAGCTCTGGCCATTGCGGCCATCTAGGGAGTAGACCAGTGGATGAAAGATCTCTCTCTGTACTACCTCTCTCTATAACTTTGTCTTTCAAATAAATAAAATAAATATTAAAAAAAAAAGGCTACAACAAAAGAGAAATAACAACAAAAGAAAACTGGCTACATGTTGTGAACTACTATGGGTGAATGAATTGTACAAGGGATTCATTCATTCATTAAACTATTCTATTTTTGCATGTTTCATGTTCAGTTTCTATTAAGAAGAAAACACAAGAGATACTTACCAATGAGATCACTTCGATCTAGTAACAACTCGAGATCTTTATCACTAATGACTCTCTCTCTTGATCCTTTTACTTCCCTATGGAAACCAAAATATTCAAGTCTATATGAATAAATCAAAAATATGAATGATATTTTTCTAAAATTAAGAAACCTTACCTTTCATAATCTCTAGATTTTAAAAGCTCCATTAATTCTTTGGGATCTAAGAAATTCTTAGATTGAGTTAATCCAGATTGACCACCTTTGAAATGATCTAGAAAAACAATTTCAAAATATTAGAATTCCTTTTAAAATTATAATAGGATACATTATAAGCCAATGGCTTACATTAAAAAGACAAAACAAGACCCCAAGTGTTGGTTAGGAAGAACAACTGAAACTCTCAGATTTGGCTGGTAGGATGTAAAATGGGATATTAACTTAGGAAAAAGTTTGATACACATAGGCCCCACACCCCACATCAAGGCCAAACAAATGCATTATTGTCCACATAGATACACACACCAACAGCTTATTCACAATAGTCACAATCTGAAGATACTTCAAATATCCATCAACGGAAAAATGGATAAAATATTCAGCAAACAAAACAATATCCAGAAACAAAGGAATACAAAAATAGTCATACATAAAAATACATGCAAACAATTGAATGGTTAAAAAAAATCTATATGACAGAAATCAAAATAGTGGTAGCCTTCTGGAGAGAGTCGAGGGAACACAGAGAATGACTAGAAAAGGTATGTCTCCTTTTGATCTGGAGGAGTTATATGAATGTGTATTTAACACAATTTAGCAAGCTGCATATTCAGGAGTTGTACATTTTACTATATATATCTTCATTTGATACTTAATAAAAATTGTTGAAATTTTTAAAAGGTCCTTCAAATTTTTTTATAAAATTAATCCCTTAAAATACTAAAAAATAGAATTCAGGAAAACAAAATCATAGATAAAGCTTATCTACACTTTAAAGTATACTCAGTATTTAAACAAAATATAATTGATTTCATCAGTTGAATTTGAATTTTAGTTGACACACAATATTAGGATGAAACTCACTTCCCCAACAAAAATCACAACTACAATCTCAATGTTCCATCTAGCCAAGTTAGTTTTATTGAAAACCTAATTCACTTTTCCCTCAAAAACAAGTACTCTGGAGAAAGTTTCTGCAAGCAAAAAAGCAGCATAAAATAAATTCACAGTGATTTAACATCACCATTACTATGCTGCTCCAATTTCTCTAGGCTTGACAACTCAAAAAGATAAACTTCAACTTTCAACTTTCCTTCAGGTAGCCACCAACCCATTAATCCAAACACAGTATTATGTTGAATAAATGAAAGTAGAACTTATCCTAGGAATTTCAGAGAACAGAACACACCAATCTACTTCAATTCCCTTCCTTCCGAGAATCTTTTCTAATGAGAAAAGTTTGTAAAACACTGTGTCCTAGACTAAAGATACACTGTAGTGAAATATTCTATGAAACAGAGGACTTCACAAAGTAAATTCTTACAGCACTTCTTCAATACCATGTTTATATTCTAATATTTAATATATTCAACTTACAAGAAGAGCATTAAAGTTTCCTTAAAGCTTTAGGCAGGCAAATATCAGGCCTAATCATTAATAGCATACCAAATTCCCGACAGTTTAGAATACCATGTCTTAAAAATTATCCTCGACCTCATTTTCTGTCCTTCTGTTCCTCATCTAAACACACATTAATGTTCTTTCATGTCTATGATCACCACCTTAGTTTAAGGTTCTGAGCAGCTCCAAATTCCTCACTGCTTATTTAAATCTCTTCATGTCAAGCTGCACCTGCACATGTTATAGCACACAATGGATAACTGAAGGAAAAAAGCATGACTTAAATGTTCCTTACTTTTGTGGATGATCAACTTTTCCAATTTTCTTTTAGCAGCTGCTCTTTCCACAATTTTCTGATCAATAGTATTTGCTGTAACAAGGCGATATACAACAACTGGCTTTGTTTGACCAATTCTATGACATCTATCCTGGGCCTGAAGATCAGACTGCGGGTTCTTGGAAGTTAAACAGGAAAATAACATTTATCAGTCTTAGATTAAAATTAAGTTAACCTCATAATCTAAGTGAAGTCAAAATTTATGATGCAATTAAAAATTTGAAAATGTTGCATGAAACTCAACTTAAACTTCATTATCATTGACAATTGTTAAAAAAATTAAATATTCCAAAGGAAACATTTCAAGTTTTTTTATGTAACAAACTTGATTAAGTGATCCTTAACTGAAAAGATAATTTCCAAGATATAAATGAAACTTCAACCTGTACTGGGAAAGTTTAAAAATTAAGAATGAAAACATAATCAGCATATTGATAATACTTCCAACTCACCCAATCACTATCATAAATGATAACTGTATCTGCTGCAGTTAAATTAATACCCAAACCACCAGCTCTCGTACTCACTAAGAAGATAAACACATCAGGATCTGTGTTAAAGCTGTGCATCTAAAAGCAAAAAGATGAAAAAACAAATTAAGAAATTAACTTAACCAACAAGATCGAGGGGATATTGCTGTTAATTAACCATTAAAGGCTGATTCAAGGGAGGCCAAGCTGATCATTTAAATCTATTGAATAATTATCTTAATAAAACCTCTACTCATGTTAACATTATTTTCCAAACACAGATTTTATTGAGATTTTAATTTTTAAAAAACTACACACCACAAAGATATTTAAATACCAAAAAATAAATAAATAAAAAAGGACACAAAGAAAATCTCCAGTGGTTGCCAAGATGAGGCAGATACAAAGGGTGGACTGATCAGAAAGGAACCCAGAAAATTTCCTGGGCTAAAGGCAATATTTTATATCCCGAAACAAGCTTGGACAAAACTCAACTAAAGTATATTTTGCTTATACAGGATGACTAAATCCCACTCTGAAAACAAAAAAAAATATGCTGAATCCATTAGAGAGAAAAGCATCACCTACAATTTATTTTGAAATGCACCAGAAACAGAGGATGGAATGTAGAATGGATATAGCAATGGACTGATGCTGTATCAAGGTATTTAATTAAAAAGTACAATCAAATGTTAACAGGAAGGGGGCTGGCACTGCGTGGCACAGCAGGTTAAGCTGCTTATTGAGACATCAGCATCCCTTATTGAAGGGCGGGCTGCTCTACTTCCAATCCAGCTTCCCAGTAATGTACCTGGGATGGTAGTAGACACTAATCCAAGTGCTTAGAACCTGTTACCCAGGTGGGAGACCTGGATAGATGTAACTCCTGGCTCCTGGCTTCAGCCTAGCCCAGATCTGACTGTTGCAGCCTCTTGGGACGTTAACCCACAGATGGATAATCTCTTTCTCTGTTACACTTCCTTTCAAATAAATAAATCTTTATATTTAAAAAAAGCTAATGGCAAATTCTAGGTGGGTTTACACTGTTTAAGTAAAATTATTTCAACTTGCAATATATTTGAAATTTTCGAAATAAAAATGCTAGGAAGTTAGGGCAAAAGGTCAGAGGGAAAAATTTTCTTGTTATCCTAATATTTTCAAAGTGTTGGCTAAATAGTATATTATTACATAAGGTTATGCTGTAAGATACATTTATAGTGATACATGAGAATCAAACATTGACTTTATCAAAATGCTTATTTTGATTTTGCCAGAGTTTTCTGTTATTTCTAGCTCATCAAATTTTTCCATTTATTTTGAATATTACTTCAGAAATCAAGAAAAGAGTAAAAGATTTTGATTTGTATGTACTCTTACATTTTTTTCTCTCTCGGAGTAAGACATAGACCCATCAAGTCTGCTAAAGTTAAAATTTCTAAGATGGCAGTAATCCATCAAAATGTCCAACATCCTTGTCATTTGGGAAAAAAGCAGCACCTGAAATTTAAATGCGTATTATTATCTATACTGACCATTAAGAAATAAATAAAATAATAAAAACATTCCAATCAAAAATACCACCTTGTGACCTCTTTTTTGTAGTTCCGGAAGCATTCGATCCAAAATTAAGAACTTCCCAGAATTTGTTACCAATTCTTCATCAATCTTAAAAGTGGTTAAAAAAAAGAAAAAAGAAAATGAAAACATCACTCTAATTACCAACTACTTACTTTGTAAGGATAAAATTTAGCTCAATTTTCAATGATAAATGAGTCACTATAACTTAGAAATGACCTTCTTAGTCCATCTTTTTCACAGGTATTTCAAATAGTGTAAAGCAGTAGTTCTCAGATTGGGTCAATCTTGCCCTCTACCCCTAGAGAACATTTTGCAGTCACTGAGGATGGTAAATAGTACTAGCACCCAGAGACTAGGGATGCTGCTAAATGTTTTACAGTGCACAGACATTATTTAACTAAAAAACATTATCCAGGTCAAAATATCATACTGCCAGCAATGAGAAACCAACTATGCCATCTTCTTATCAACTACTGTAGAAAGCAATTTCAATTCTTTTCACCCAAAAAGTCCACAACTCAGTATCAACTTTTGGGCTTTCTTCTATGGCTACTTGTTGAGAATGAAGCAATGAGCAGAGCAGACAGGTACGACTGTAACAAGGTAAATGCTAATAGGAAAGAATGACACCAATGACAACTACCTCTAAAATAACACATAAAATGAGAGTAGAAATCAATAGTTTTACAAAATTTCAGACAATTTATTCTTAGCTATCAGATAATTACAATGCACAGAGTGACCATCATTTTAACTCTGTTAAAGTTCTCTAAATTTGGCCGCCGCCGCGGCTCACTTGGCTAATCCTCCGCCTGTGGCACTGGCACCCGGAGTTCTAGTCCCGGTTGGGGCTCTGGATTCTGTCCTGGTTGCTCCTCTTCCAGTCCTGCACTCTGCTGTGGCCAGGGAAGGCAGTGGAGGATGGCCCAGGTCCTTGGGCACCTGCACCCGCATGGGAGACCAGGAGGAAGCACCTGGCTCCTGGCTTTGGATCGGCGCAGCATGCCAGCCATAGCAGCCAACTGGGGGGGTGGGGGGGGACACCAACAGAAGGAAGACCTTTCTCTCTGTTTCCCTCTCTCTTACTGTCTAACACTGCCTGTCAAAAAATAAAAAGTTCTCTAAATTTGGAGAGAGCAGTCTGTCTTTAGTTTACCTTAAGGATCATAACCTTTCTATGGAAAATAGCACAACATTTATTTTTAAATAATAATCAAGCCAAACAAAATATTATACTTTCTTTCAATACAAAAGTTGCAGAAATCCAAAAAATAAATTAAATTATATTCACCTTAAATTCTTGTGTAACAGGATCTATAGGGTACTCAATCAAATATGGATGATTACAGCATTTACGAAGTAACATCATTATATTTTGTAGCTTCAGATTAACTTCAGATTCTAGCGGGACATTCACTTCCACAACAGTTCTATCAAAAACATGTAATGCACGAAAATGAGAAATGTTAAAAACAAAAAACAAACAGTCTAAAAAAAACAAACTTATTTTTAAAATCACACCTTTCTCGGTCCACCTCTGGCTGAATTTGACTGATCAATTTTTCCAATTCATTTGGGAAATCATCTATGTTGCTGTAATTTATTGATTTTCTAGTTCGTCGTTTTGGTCGTCCAGTAGGACTTAGCTCAATTGTTTCTTTCTAAAAGAGAACAAATTAAAGGGCTATCTGTTTAAAAAGCTATATCCTGAAGTTAATAGTTTTATGAACAAAATTATTTTTTTAAGATTTAAAGAAAGAAAATCACTCATCAAGTTAATTCCCAAAAGTAAAATATCAGGAATCCATAATCTACAGCCAAAGGCAAACGTTACATTAAATTTGCCTTAACATCAATTAACAGCATCTCAAAGTAACACTAAGTATCTATCTACATCAACGGAGAAAAATTCATGATGTATAAAACCATTTTGAACTCACATTCTACAAATCTATTTAGCTATCAATACCCTCTTGCAGGGTCGGTGCTATAGCACAGTGGTAAAGCTACAGCCTGCAGTACCAGCATCCCATGTGGGCGCAGGTTTGAGTCCCAGCTGATCCACTTCCAATCCAGCTCTACTGTGGCCTGAGAGAGCAATGGAGGAAGGGCAAGTCCTTAGGCCGCTACAGCTGCGTGGGAGACCTGGCAGAAGCTCCTGACTCCTGGCTTCCAATTGGCGCAGCTCCAGCCACTGCAGCAATCTGGGGAATGAATCAGCAGGAAGAAGACCTCTCTCTCTCTCTGCCTCTCTGTAACTTTGCCTTTCAAATAAATAAATAAATCTTTAAAAAGAATTTTAAAAAAATCTTATTGCAAAAGATTTGCTTATTTAAAGGAGTCCATCTATTTGGCAAGCCCTTTGTTCAGTTACTCTCAACTGACTATGAGCTTTTTAAAATCCATCAACAATCAGCATAATTAGGGTGAACCTGGGATTAGAATCTACATTTTTAACAAGCATTACAAGTGACTACAAAGCAAGTAAAATATGGATTTCAAAAATTTTACAACATAAACTTATCTTTTAATTCTAGTTTTCCACAAATTTTTTGAAGTAGACTAGGAAATAACTTCTGCTACTGGCCTCTTCAACCATAAGTCAAAATTAACACACAAATCCTGAAAGTAAGTTAGGAGTCTTAAGACTCAAATCAAGCATGAAAGTTTATACCCCAAAGCTTATTTACAGTTTATATCAAACCCACACAGTACCTCACTGGTCCCAAACATATTTGCAATGGTGCGGTTCACAATGGCAGTATAAAAGACCTCTTGTTTCTTTGAAAGTGGTGCATAAACAACTACTTCTCGTTTAGGAGGAACTTCAAGGGCAACATCAGATTTCAGTCTTCTCAATAAGAAAGGTGTTAGAATCTAAAATGAACAAGTATGAATATTAAACATTCCTCTTTTTTTGGCAATATTGTTCTCACATACCCTTTACCCTTTCTCCTTAATTCCTATATAAATAACTATCAAGTGTGAAGAAATGAGATTAAAATATTATCTCCTTGAAATTTTCCTAGACCACAGCAGCACATGATAAATCCATTACATTTATCCACAGCACTTCACAATTTATTAGTCACTCAAATACTCTAAGAATATATCTGGAGTAATTTAAAAAGCAGAAAGAAAAAATTATTTCAATGTCACAGTGATAGTTTTCAATTACAACCACAATTTTTCAAATGATTTTAGACTAATGGAAAACCAATCAACCTACAGATAAGTTCTAAGTCAGGAGTAAAGGTACTCTTTGTGATTACAAGTGATATCACATTTTTAAATAGAATACAAAAGTGATTAAACATTGTAATATTAAATTGTTTAGGCCTAAACAAACACTTAAACTTATTTATACTCTATGAACTTAGGTTTCAATATGAGTTGGCAAGTGTTTTACATACAGTAATTACATATATATGGGGGGGTAGGGGGGAGAGAAAGTAGTAAAGCTCACTTTCAGGGATCTGTACTCTAAATACCCAGAGGCATAGAGAAACTATACCAGATAAAGAGAATATTACAATGGTTTACGAAAAAAAAAATTGGGGGCAGGCGCTGCAGGGTAGTAGGCTAAGCCTATGCCTGTGGGACCAGCCTTCCATATGGACGCTGGTTCCAGTCCCATATGCTCCTCTTCCGTTGAGGAAACTCCCAGCTCCTGATCAGCCCAGCTCCGGCCCTTGCAGCCATTTAGGGAGTAAACCAGTGGATGGAAGATCTTTCTCTCAGTCTCTCTATCTATAACTCTACCTCTCAAACAAATAAATAAAACCTTAAAAAAAAAAAAAAGAAGAGTAATTTAAATTTGAAGAGAGCCCTTATTTTCTAATTCTCTACTAATAAGGGTTGGAAAGGCAGTTTCAAGAACTTTCTTTAGATTCTATGTGCATAAAGGAAGCATAGTAAGAAAATGGTCAAAACCTGGTGCAGCATATGCAATACATTCTGTTCTCTTTCTTTAGCAATAATATCTTCAGCAGTTTCAGATAAACTAGTGATGTCAAACCAAGACTCAAAGCTGGAAGAGAAAAGTTACGAGTTAATCTATCAAAAATTCCATTATATTAAAACAATGCATTTTAGAATTTCATACTCTTTATTATGAAGTATGAATATTCTAACATATCCTCAAATGTAGTGTTAATTACAGTGGAAAAGATCACATTCAAATGATAAAAATAAAATTATTGCTATTTTTGAACCACAATTCAATTTGTGATCTTAAGGGAGATAGTTTCTAATTTACATTAATATTATAATAGTACGAAAATCAAATAAAGATTAATGTAAATATTTTATTTAATATTTTTAAAACTATTATAAGCAAAAATCTATTTCTAAAAGTGTAAGGCCATGTGTTCCATCTCTACAGGTATAAATTTGAAACAATAATCCTTAATTCTTTCCAGTATAAAAATTCATTAAAATGAGTAATTTAGTTTAAGTATGCAGGTATTCATAATACATTCTAGGTGACACTACAGCCAGTAAATCCAATTATGAAACATGCTAATAACATTTATACAATATATAAATTGGATAATCCCAAACTTAAACGACTTGAAACATGTTCTAAAAATTCATAATCTCAGCTTCAACCTCAACTCGTTAGGTCTCTGTAAACCCAGAAATCCTGTGCTTCAAAAAGTGTCCAGAGTTAAAGACAGCCTAGGCCTTAGGCCAGTACTTGATACCCAGATTTGGAATATTTGTAAAATAAAACATTGAAAATTATTTCTCCATATTCAATTAGCTTTCCTCCTTCACTGATGTCAAAATAAACATGAATGAATTATTCAGACTAGCTTTTCTTGTAGTTCCATCTTAATTACATTAGAACTATCTGCTCTTTCACTCTGAGGATATTAATTATTTCCTGAAAACTACTTGTGATTTTTTGGTTCCTAGAACATAAGCTAGATTCAAACAGTTTCTAGAATAAAAGTTCTAGGCTAAAATTTTAAAAATTTTCAAATTTTGGGCCGGCGCCGCAGCTCACTAGGCTAATCCTCTGCCTTGCGGCACCGGCACACCGGGTTCTAGTCCCGGTCGGGGCGCCGGATTCTGTCCCGGTTGCCCCTCTTCCAGGCCAGCTCTCTGCTGTATCCCGGGAGTGCAGTGGAGGATGGCCCAAAAGCTTGGGCCCTGCACCCCATGGGAGACCAGGAGAAACACCTGGCTCCTGCCATTGGATCAGCGCGGTGCGCCAGCCGCGGCGGCCATTGGAGGGTGAACCAATGGCAAAGGAAGACCTTTCTCTCTGTCTCTCTCTCTCTCACTGTCCACTCTGTTGTCAAAAAAAAAAAAAAAAAAAAATTCAAATTTTGGTTCTACTAACTAGTTGTATGCATACCTTATGTCCCTGGGTTGATTTGTAAAGATAAAGTTTTTAAAATCCACCTGAAAGTGTTCTACAAAGAGAAAAAAAAGTCTTCTGTGACTTTCAAAATAGTAAATAATTTTAAAAAAGGGGGGCAAAATTTTAGAGTTAGAAACATACCAGGGGATTCCAATTCAATCCCATCAAGGTGGCATGTACCAATGCCATCTCACTAGTCCATCCAAGTGATCAATTTCAGTTCACAACTGATCATAATGATAGCACTAAGAGTCAAAGGATCACAGAAACAAGACTAGTGTCTGAAAATACTAAGCGATGGAATAAAAAAAAAGGGAGAGAACGATCCAACATGGGAAGCGGGATACACAGCAGATTCAGAATGGTGGATGTCCTAAACAGCACTCTGGCCTCAGAATCAGCCCTTAAGGCATGCAGATCCAGCTGAAAAGCCCATGAGAGTATTTCAGGCATGGAAAGCCAAGACACTCTGGCAAAAAAAAAAAAAAAAAAAAAAAAAACCTAAATGAAAGATCTCTGCGAGTGAGATCCCAGTGGAAAGAACAGGTCATCAAAGAAGGAGGTCCCTTTCTCTGAAGGGAGGAGAGAACTTCCACTTTGACTATGACCTTGTCCAAAAAAGATTGGAGTCGGTGAACTCAAAAGGCTTCCATAGCCTTGGAAACTCATGACAAGAGCCTAGGGTGATTACTGCTGCCAATAAACAAGAGTGTCAATTTCTTAAGTCAACAACAGGAGTCACTGTGTACTTGTTCCTCATGTAGGATCTCTGTACTTAATGTGCTGTACATTGTGATTTAATGTTATAACTAGTACTCAAACAGTATTTTTCACTTTGTTTTTCTGTGTGGGTGCAAACTGTTGAAATCTTAATTAATATATACTAAATTGATCTTCTGTATATAAAGAATTGAAAATGAATCTTGATGTGAATGGAAGGGGAGAGGGAGCGGGAGATGGGAGGGTTGCGGGTGGGAGGGAAGTTATGGGGGGAAGCCACTGTAATCCATAAACTGTACATTGAAAATTTATATTCATTAAATAAAAGTTAAAAAAAAGGGGGGGCATTTTATTTGTGCTTAAAACTTTGAAAACTAAAAAAAAGTCTCATAAAAACATTTTAAGATAACATTTAAAAGTTTTTCTTTAATAAATGCAAATAAGTTTTAAATATTCTTACTTATCTTCTCTCACACAATCTGTGTCACAAGAACAACATGCATATGTGAGGGATCTCCACAAAGTTCATGGAAAAATGGACACTATGAAAAAACTATGCACATATTTCAAAAATTTTTTGTGCCAAAAAAAATTTCTTTTAATTGTTTTTCCATGAACTTTTGAGATGAACCCTCAAACACTTCAAGAACTTAATAAAAATTTATCAGCTACCTAGAAGAAAGGATTAATTTTAACTATGAGTACAGATTTTGAGGTTTAATACATATATAAAAGTTAAAAACTGGCTTACCTACCTTTTTAAGTCATCAAATACATCTGGCAACAAAAAGTTTAGCAATGACCAAAGTTCTGATAAATTGTTTTGCAAGGGTGTACCAGTCAAAAGAAGTTTATTATCAGCATTGAACCGTTTTAACTCCCTTATTAGGCGGCAGTTCATATTCTTAATCCTGTGTCCTTCATCTACTATTAAGTATTTCCAATAGCAATGCTAGAAAATGAATCAAGGGAAAAATTTTAAAATAATGATCTAATAATTTTTCTGAATAGCAAATCTAAAAATCAAAGTTCTCTTTTAAGAGGGATAAATGTTAAGTTTTATCCAATGCCATTATCTACAGAGATAAGCATGTTTTCCTTTGAGCTACTAAGGGGATAATTAATGGACTCTTTAAATGATTTATATTTGTGTTCTTGGAACAGACCTCAGCAGGTCATGAATTAGTATTTGATGTCCACCTGCTATTATGTCTTTAAGTCAGAACAGTTCATAACTTTCCTTTCTAGTCTTCTTATAAAAAGTGGTTTTTCTTGTTTTTGATGGAGAGAGAGAGAAAGAACAAGATAATCCATGTCTCCCACATGGGTAGCAGGAATCCAATTGTTTGAGCCATCACCAATGCCTTCCAGAGTCTGCACTGGCAGGAAGCTACAGTCAGATATTAGAATTGGAAATCAAACCCAGGCTCTGTAATGTGGGTCAGGGTGACTTAAGTGTTATGCTAAATTCCTACTCCAGCCAAGTTTTGCTATCAGTGTTATACTAAATTTCTAAAAAAGTAATTGAAAGCTTTCACTAGTAACATAAATTCTGAAATATTAAATAGCATTGGAATCTCTTTTACAAAATTAATTAAATGATTATTTATTTATTTTGATCTACTTGAAAGAGTAGTGCAGTCAGAAAGTGTGAGCACATGAGCTCCCATCTACTGGTTCACTCCACTTATGCCTCCAATAGCCAGACTTGAACCAGGCCAACAACCCAAAACTCATCCAGGTCTCCCATGTGGGTGGCAGAGGCTCAAACACTTGGGCGTGCTGCCTCCTAGGATGCATCAGCAAGAAGCTGGTTCGGAAGGAGAGTACCAGGGACTGGAACTGGCACTCCAATGTGGGATGTGAGTAACCCAAGTGGCAGCTTAATCCACTATGACACAATGCCCACCCCAGAATCTTTATTCTTAAGGCCTACATCTCAGATCGACACTATTTTCAATATGCTGTTCTCAATTTTTTAGTTATTAGCTTGTTTAGGTTTTCCCTGTCTTCAAACATCAATTTTAGCAATTTATATTTTCACAAAGTCATCCAATCACTTTCATAAAATCCTCATGAAAAAATATATTCATTCTCATCGTTAATATCTTTGCTTTCTCTTTTATCTTGCTCAGACTTATAATTTATCTAATTTACTGTATAAAAATACAGAAATATGCAATATTTCTGGAAATAAAAATACCAAACTATCAATATAGGTATCCTGGAATATTAGACTGGCAAAGTAGGGGAAGACATCATTTCATACTCTTTGCACAGTACACTCTTAACAAAATGGAAAAACATTAACTGTTTAAAGTGACTTCAAAGATACTTATTTTTCAAGCAATATGCAAAACTTAGAAAACCTGAAAAGTCTCTCACCACTAACACCTATTGAACAATGCCAGATAATATATAAAACATTCTTTATAAATAAGTAATTAAAAGAGAACAATGAAGGAAACAGAAATGATAAGGAATCTGAAAAACAAATTAGTAATAGGCTCTCATATTTCTGTCACAAACAGGAGCTCTGGAATTCCACACCCATCACTCTCTAACTAAGATCTTGGAATTAATAACACAGAATCAAGCCGGCGCCGTGGCTCAATAGGCTAATCCTCCACCTTGCGGCGCCGGCACACCGGGTTCTAGTCCCGGTCGGGGCACCGGATTCTGTCCCGGTTGCCCCTCTTCCAGGCCAGCTCTCTGCTGTGGCCCGGGAGTGCAGTGGAGGATGGCCCAGGTGCTTGGGCCCTGCACCCCATGGGAGACCAGGAAAAGCACCTGGATCCTGGCTCCTGCCATCGGATCAGCGCGGTGCGCCGGCTGCAGCGGCGGCCATTGGAGGGTGAACCAACAGCAAAGGAAGACCTTTCTCTCTCTGTCTCTCTCTCTCACTGTCCACTCTGCCTATCAAAAAAAAAAATAAAAACCTACAACCAATATGAAGGCTTGATTGCAATTCCGAATCCCTGAAAAAGAGAAGTGGAAAAATTCTAGCCACTAGCAAATGGAACTGACAAACAAGATGAGCTATTTCAGAAGTCTAATGTTATATTCCTGAGTAGAAAACTGGAGTGACCCAAGAGCATTCATAGTGTGATCCTACATATAGAAATTGCTATACGTAAAAGTAGTTTTAATACAAAAGCAGTAATTCTCAGAATGAAAGGTGCTTTTATACCTTTCTGTACAATATTCTTTCTGAAACTGATTTACTTTTACAGTAAAGAAATAGTTTTGATACATTTGACTCCATACATATTCAGAAATTTTTGTTAAACGCCAGAGAAAATGTGGGGAGCAACTCGGACTAAACTAAGTTACTGGAACTAAGACTTATTCTATGCATCTGCTGTCCCACAATATGGCGCTGGGAGAGGAGCCAACAGCTTCTACCCAGCTGCCTCTCACCAACTTGACAAGCTGTAGGAGCTGCTCCTGATTGGAGGAGAGCAGCGTACTCGGCGTGTGGGTAGCAGAGTTGGGATTGGTGGAAGAGGACTATAAAGGAGGAGAGAGACAACATGCACCAGGAACATCTATCTGAAGGAACACCTGTGCAGCCCCCGAGAGAGCCGGCCGGCGGTGTGCTGCTCCCCTGCGGAAGTGGGGAAGGTGGCAGGGGGCCCGCCCCTCCACGGAGGTGGAGGGATGGTAGCCAACCCGGGAAGAACCAGCAGCAAACCCGGGGAGGGCCGAGCAGACAAAAGAACAGCGCAGGGTCCTGTGTCGTTCCTCCACGAAGAGGGGGAGTGACAAGAAAAGACTTCTATATATCATGTTCCAAAGTTTTACCAGCATATGCAAAATCTGACAAATAACTCTTCATGACCATACAAACCTTAATTACTTTACATATATAGTATTGTTTTGATTTTATGTTAAACTCATTACTGGAGTTACTTTCGTTTCAGTTAAGCAAAAAAAAAAAATCTAAGGGGATTGCACTTACTATAGAATCTGACTCACATAGAATCAGAGCAGGAAAAACAAAGCAGTGCTAATTACCTGTGAAATAAGTAGAATAGTGAGGATGAAGTTCAAAACACAAGAAAAGGAACAGAAGCAATGAGAGAAAAAAGAGCAATATTCTACTTGTGTTAGAGGAGCAAGAAAAAAAGAGGAAATATTTTCCTATAGTCCAGGACACAATCTAAAAAAATCACTTGTTTTCAAATATTCTCTTATTTGATTAAAACAGGATTTACAACTTGGGACACTCACAGCCCATTTCAAAGTGCCTGGATTTAAGTCCTGGCTCTGCTTCCAATCTAGCTTCCTATTAATGAACACCCTGGAAGGTAGCAGAAGATACCACCCACATTAAGAGACTCAAATGGAGTTGCCAGCTCCTGGCTTCAGCCTGATCCCACCCTTGGCTGTTATAGCCATTTGGAAAATAAACCAGCAGATGGAAGATCTCTCTGTGCTGGTGTCTGTCCGTTTCTGCCTTTCAAACAAATAATAAAAATAAAAAAATTTAAAAGAATAAGTAAATTCCATGTACTTGAAGTACATGTCAGAAACATATCTATAATATTTTCACAGATAAGGCCGGCGCCGTGGCTCACTAGGCTAATCCTCCGCCTAGCGGTGCCGGCACACCGGGTTCTAGTCCCGGTTGGGGCGCCGGATTCTGTCCCGTTGCCCCTCTTCCAGGCCAGCTCTCTGCTGTGGCCGGAGTGCAGTGGAGGATGGCCCCGGTGCTTGGGCCCTGCACCCCATGGGAGACCAGGATAAGCACCTGGCTCCTGGCTCCTGCCATTGGATCAGCGCGGTGCGCCGGCTGCAGCGCGGCGGCCGCGGCGGCCATTGGAGGGTGAACCAATGGCAAAGGAAGACCTTTCTCTCTGTCTCTCTCTCTCACTGTCCACTCTGCCTGTCAAAAAAAAAATAAAATAAAAAAAAATAATATTTTCACAGATTAGAGCTGTGTTTGATTCTAACATTTAAAAAACTAGGATCAGGGCAAGCATCATGAAGCAACAGTTAAGTAGCTGCTTGGGACATCCATATCCCATACTGCAGCACTGGTTCAAGTCCCAGCTTCCCCTGCTTCCAATTCAGCTTCTTGCTAATACTCCTGGGAAAACAACAAATGATGGTTCAAGTGCTTGGCTCCCTTCCACCAACATGAGACCCAGATGGGGTTCCAGCTCCTGGCTTGGCCCTAGCCTAACCCCACCTACCACAGGCATTTGGGGAGTTAATCAGCAGATGAAAGATCTCTACCTTTTCCTTTCAAACAATGAAAATTTAAAAAAAAAATAGTCACAACTGAACTAAAAATATGAGGGCCACAAGTGAAATTCCAGGAGCATTAATCTTACTTAGAATTTACAGCCTTCATCCCAATTTTTCTGTTAACAACAGCCTCCAATTTCTAGGGCAATATGCACAATACAATCTAATTACATAAACAAGAAGAAAAAGAAATAATCAAATGCTACTGGATAGTGAGAAAATAGTACAAATTAAGAAAAATGCAAAGTATAGACTCTTAGATCAATTGTCTGTACCTGTAGTGCATTTCGGTCTCTCATGGCTATTTCAAATGATGTGATTACCACTGGATGAATCTGCAGTGTCCCATTCCGTTTGTTAATATTCCTTACCAGTTTTCGACGTTCCTGCTGGGTTCCATGATATAACATAGTAGGAACCTAAAAGATTTTGTTAATTTAGAACAAAATAGAAACATCAATTAATTAGAAATAAATTCTTTTCTGAGACAAAAAGTCAATTTCTGTTCTAGCTCTCTATAATAAAATAAGCAAGTATAACAAACCACTGAACTCATACAGAAGAACTTATCTTTTAACTCCATTTCCATGAACTTTTTTTAAAGATTTATTTTTTTATTTGAAAGCAGAATTACACAGAGTGATGAAGGAGAGGAAGAGAAAGAGAGAGGTCTTCCATCTGCTGGTCACTGCAATGGCCGGAGTTGCACCAATCCAAAGCCAGGAGCCAGGAGCCAGGAGCTTCCTCCAGGTCTCCCACATGGTTGCAGGGGCCCAAGGACTTGGGCCATCTTATACTGCTTTCTTAGGCCATAGCAGAGAGCAGGATGGGAAGTGGAGCAACCAGGACTCAAACTGGCACTCATATGGGATGCCAGCACTGCAGATGGCAGCTTTACCCAATACACCACAGTGCCGGCCCCAGGAGAATTTTGTTTTTAAACCAAAGGGATAGGCATTTGGCAGCACTGCTTGGCGGGGCAGAATGCCCACTGCCTACTGGAGTGCCTGGATGTGAGTACTGGCTCTGCTTCTGATTCCAGCTTGCAGCTAATGCACACTCTAGAGGCTAGCAGGTAATGTCGTTTAGTTCCTGGTACTCACATGGAAAACCTGTAATGACCCAGTTCCAGTGTTTGGCCTGGCAGGATCCCAGCTGTTGTGGGCATTTGGAGAATAAACCAATGAAGAGGAGCTGTCTGTCTCTCTGCCTCTCAATTTTTTTTTTTTTTTTAATCACAAAAATAAGCAAGTAAAAGAGAAACACAGGGAAGTTATTTCTAGAATATATACTTCTCATAAGGTAAGGATGCAGATTTGAAGACATACATATGGGGGGGAAACACCAGGGGAATAAACAGTATTTCTTTTAAATTGGGGCAAGGTTAAGATACTGGTTGGGATACCTGTGTCCAACACCAGAGTACTTGGGTTCAAATCTTGGTTCTCCTCTTAATTCTAGCTTCTAGTAGCAAGTGATGACTCAAGTGGTTGGGTCCCTACCATCCTGCAGTGTAGGTCAAGCCACAGTCATTATAGGTATTTGGGGAATAAACCAGCACAGGGGAACTTTGTCTATCTGTCTATCTCTCTGAATAAAAACTAAATAAAGAAAATTATACCCAGATCTGTCTTAGGTGAATCAAACTATTCAATAGACTAAAATCACTCAGGGACATTTTAGGCAAGATGTCTGAGATTACCAATACCTACTCCATATAAATTTTTTTTTTTTTTTTGACAGGCAGAGTGCACAGTGAGAGAGAGACAGAGAGAAAGGTCTTCCTTTGCCATTGGTTCACCCTCCAATGGCTGCCGTGGCCGGCGCGCTGTGGCCGGCGCGCTGTGGCCGGCACACCGTGCTGATCCGATGGCAGGAGCCAGGTACTTATCCTGGTCTCCCATGGGGTACAGGGCCCAAGGACTTGGGCCATCCTCCACTGCACTCCCTGGCCACAGCAGAGAGCTGGCCTGGAAGAGGGGCAACGGGACAGAATCCGGCGCCCCGACCGGAACTAGAACCCGGAGTGCTGGTGCTGCAGGCAGAGGATTAGCCTAGTGAGCTGCAGCACCGGCCCTCCATATAAATTTAAAATAAGATATTGCTCCGAGTGAAGCGTCACATCAGGGGGCTGGCATTGTGGCACAGCAGGTAAAGCCACAGCCTGCAATGCAGGCATCCCAAATGAGTTACAGTTCACATTCCGGCTGCTCCACTTCCAATCCAGCTCCCTGCTGATGGCCTGGGAAAAGCAGCAGAAAATGGCCCAAGTGCTTGGGCCCTGCCACCCATGTGAGAGACTTGGAAGAAGCTCCTGGCTCCTGGCTCCACAGTGTTCAGCCCTGGCCATTGCAGCCATCTGGAGAGCAAATCAGCGGATGGGAAATCTCTCTCTCTCTGTCTCTCCCTCTCCCTTTGGAACTCTGCTTTTCAAATAAGTAAATAAATCTTTTTAAAAGAAAAAGAAAAATCAAGTTAGACACAATGTTTATACAGAAATAAGTATATAGTAGAAAGGATACAATTCCTCTAACAACAAATAAACTATAAAACATGTGAAATAATATATTTAACATAAGGAAATATGTCTTACTTCTGGTGTAAATCTTTTGAACTCAGCCATCCAGTTAGGAAGTGTAGACAAAGGCCCACAGACAAGAAAAGGTCCAGGTACTCCTCTCTGAATCATCAATGCAATTGTAGCAATGCACTGAACTGTCTTTCCCAATCCCATTTCATCTGCTAAAATGCCATTAATTCCATTTTCCCAAAGCATCTGGACAAAATAATATACATTGTATTTAAATACTAATAATGATACCTACTAACTTAGCAATAGCTTATTTCTTTTTAAAAATCATATCCCAAATCAACAGTCATGTTGAGACTACCATTTTCATACCATAAATGATCACAAGACTTCTCCAAAGTCCTTTATCAAATCCTTATCAAGTCCTTAACATGTTAATTTTTACCTTTAAAAATTTATTAAGGGTAAATCAATTAAAAATATGTATCTACACACAAATAATGGTTTCATATGTAATAGTAAAATGAAGGGACAACTCAAGCTGTGGTATATTACATTACTAGGTTATTATAGAAAGTAACCAACACATTGTATTAAAAATAATTCATTACCCTAAGCCATTCCATGCCTTCTACTTGGTACCAACGCATCACTCCCCCTGTGAAGTGCTTTGGTTGCTGAAAGGGTACTGGCTGTCCATTACATTTTCGATCTGGGTCAAAAAAGAATTTCGTATTCTGCCTAACAGTTTGAGACAGTCTACTTTTAATTATACTATTGGAATCTTTGTTTTTTTGAAGATCTTCTACACAGAGGTTAGTAGAGGAACTTTCATCCTATAAAGAAAAAAACTTGGTTAGAAGTCTGATACAAAACGCTATTATATTCAAACCTTCCCAAACAGAACTGAAGAAAATCTTTTATTCAACATTTTTAAATATTTTTATTTATTTATTTGAAAGAGAGACAGACAGGTCTCCCATCCACTGGTTCACTACTCAAACGCCCATAATAGCCAGAGCTGGGCCAGTGCAAAGGCAGGAGCCAGAACTCAATCCTAGTTTCCCACAAATATTGCAGGGACCCAATCACTTAAGTCATCACCTACTACATCTCAGGGTGCACAACAGCAGGAAGCTGGAAACAGGAGCACAGCCAGTATTAAAGGATATGCAATAGAACATCTCAAGTTGAAATTTAAGAAGCAATACTGGAGAAGGCATCTGGCCTAGTGGTTAAAACATTGGTTAAGATGCCTCCATCCCATATCAGAGTTCCTGGGTTCAATACCAGACTCCAGCTGTTGACTTCAGTTTCCTGCTGGTGCACACCCTGAAAGGTGGTGATGCTGGCTTCATTTATTAGATCCCCATCACACATGTAGACAGACCTGGATTGAGTTCTTGGCTCCTAGTTACCGTTATAATTGGGGCATTTGGGCAATAAACCAGTGGATGGGAGCCTGTTCTGTTTACCTCTCAAATAAACAAAAAAAATTTTAAAAAGGAAGATTAAGGTAAGAAAGAAGTAGATAAATGTTTTTAAAACAGCAAAAAAAAGGAGATACATGGTAAACAAAACATACCCTGATGACTAAAATAAAAGGGACTAGTGATCAATAAGCAAATGATTCCTAAATTTAATTTTCTACTATAAATCTCTTACCTCATTCTCCTTTTTACTTTTTTTAGCCACAGACAAAATTTCCTACAAGATTGAGAAAACAAAAACAATAATGTATGAGGTTCATTTATTTATTTACTCAATAAACATTTATTCTATGCTAATTTTATTTTTGGAAGTAGGGATAAAGGTGTTCAAGGTAATTAAAATACACATATCAAACTGGTGGTCCTTAGGAAGAATTAAACATGCAGACATTTCTGGCTGATAGTCTGATAAAATTCTAAATAAACTAGCTACATTAAATCTTGGAATGTTTGCTTAAACACCTGGATTTTCTAGCTATTCTTTGTTTAAAATATGAAACTGTGAACAGTAATTCACACATAATAACAATCCTCTAGTCAGCAAGCAACATCCTGTAGACAAACTCCAGCTGGCAGCTTGTTTTTGTAAATAAAGTTAAAATGAGCAAAGTCAGGCACGTTTGCCATTTGTCCGTGGCAGCTTTGTGAAAGTACTCAAAAGCTGAAAATGTTTAGTATCAGGCTATTTACATACAGGTTTCCTGACCCTGCTTCAGTATACATTAAACCTCTGTAGATAAACACCTGAGTTTTAAACCCTGGGTAAGAGGCTAAGACATATAACTAGGAAACACAGAATAAAGTGCTATGATTTTGTGGTACCTACTAGATGCTAAAGGTATAAATAAGACCTGAATGTCATTTGATGACTTAGCCATGTATTGTTAACATCAGATTATCTGAAAAGTTGCCATGGAGCTTAATCTTTAAAGACAGAGGTGGGGTTCATGTCAAGCAGAGAATAGTGGTACACAGAAAACACAGGGGATGAAATAATCAAGATACTTTAAGAATATATGAAATTTAAGGCGCAGAAGGAATATGTGCTAGTGCTCTGTAGCACAGTGGGATAACTGTAGTTCATAATCATCTGTTATATATTTTAATGAAAAACTTAAAGATAGCAGCTCAAAGCATCTAAACAAAAATGATAAGGAGGAGCCAGCATTGTGGTGTAGCAGGTAAGGCTACCTCCTGCAACACCCACATCCCATATGAGGTGTCTGTGTCCCAACCGCTCCACTTCCAATCCAGTTCACAGCTAATGACCTAAAAAAGCATCAGAAGATGGTCCAAGTATTTGGGCCCCAGTCACCCACGTGAGACCTGGATGAGCCTCCCAGCTTCGGCCTGGCTTAGTCCTATCTGTTGCAGCCATCTGGAAAGTAAACTAGCATATGGAAGATCTCTCTGTCTCTCCCTCTCTTTCTGTAACTTTGAATTTCAAATAAATAAATAAATCTTTAAAAGCAAATCTATATATGTATATATATATACATATATATATAAATAGAGAGAGAGAGAGAGTAATGCTAATCATAATTAGTAAAAATTACCTTGAACTATCATGAGTATCCCATACATATGCAATTATTATGCTAATGAAAAAAATGTATAAAACCCTTGTGGAATGTAAAAAAATATATATAAAAAATTCATAGAAAACTGACAGAAAACATAAGTGGCTGACACACACACATACACATGTTGTATAAGTCATATGTAGATTGAAAGCATTATGGAGGGGCCAGCATTGTGATGCAGTGAGTAAAGCTGCCACCTGAGATACTGGCATCCCAAATGGGCTCCAGTTCGAGTCCTGGCTGCCCCACTTCTGATTCAACTCCCTGCTAGTGTGCCTGAGAGAGCAGTGGAGTATGGGCCCAAGTACTTGGCACCTGCAGCCTCATGGGAGACCAGGAAGAAGCTCCTGACTCCTGACTCCCTTTGTGGCCATCTAGGAAGTGAACCAGCAGATGGAAGAGCTCTCTTTATCTCTCCGTCTCTCTAACTCTGCCTTTCAAATAAAAATAAATCTTTTTTTTTAATGTTAAAGTATTATGGAAACATTCAAACTATAAAGCTAAAAGGATTTCAGATGCAAATTCAGAAAGGCAGATGTGAATTTCTCAAACTACACTGTGAATAATGAAATACGTATAGACTATTCTTTTAGTAAGCCTGGGTATAAAGAAAAGAAAACGGCAATTATCTAGAACTTCAGATTAAAAAGCATGATGTATTTATTAATTCAAAGATAAAGAAAGATCTAGTAAAGAGGGAATGGTTCAAAATACAGAAGGATGATTCTGGAGAAGCAAGGTTCACCACAATACAATATCAAATTAGGTAATCCATATAGCTTACTCATAAGAATCTTAAGATTCTTTAGTAAGCAAGTAAGGTTTGTGTTAAACTTCAAAGAAAAGATTTGGTTAGATAAGGAGAAAAGGAAGTAACAAAATGTACAAATAACTACCAGTTTTACTGCAGATTTTAACCAATAACCAGCTGATTTACAAAATGCAAATCTGCATAGAATCTTTCAATAGCACTCTGCTCTTCATATGATAGCCTCAACCTCTTGACTATACTTAACTTCTAGTTTCACCTTTTACCACTCTTCCACTTAGCCTACTAACTGAAGCCAAGTGCAAATTCTTCTAAGTTTTGAGAACTTGTCAGTCTCTCTTAACTCTTGATTATGTAACCAATACTATTATCTCTTCCTAGAACACTCCTCTTCTACCTTACAATTTTCCTGTACAAGATTTATTTATTTATTTAAGAGGCAGGTGCAGGAGCCCAAGCACTGGGGCCATCTTTCACTGCCTTTCCAGGCCAGAGAAGAGAGCTGGATCAGAAAAGGAGCAGCTGGTACATGAACCAGTGACCATATGGGATGCCAGAGCTGCAGGCAGAGGCTTAGCCTACTATGCCACAGCACCAGCACCAATCCCTCCATCTTTAAATGATTAAACTATCAACCCTCAAGTCTCTTCCTAGATGCAAATTTTTATACATATCATAGCTGAGTTCAAAGTTCTTTGGGTAAAGAATTGTGGCACAGCAGGGTAAGTTTCCACATGGGATGCCCACATTCCCTGAGTATCTGATTCAAATCCTGACTACTCTGTGCTAACCACCAAACTTTCTGCTAATGCTCCTGAGAGGCAGCAGATGATAGCTCTCGCATTTGGGGAGTGAACAAGCAGATATAAGACCTCTCTGTCTCTTACTCTCTTTCTGTCAAATAATATGTATACAAAGAAATCTTAAAAAATAAAAAAAAGGAGCTTGTTCATCCCTTCATATCCTCTCAATAGCATCCAATTTAGTTGCCTAATTACTTCAGAGTTTCTGACTGGTTCTGGGCTAATGGAGCTCGTCCATTTAAATTTAATAAGTAGACTAACAGTGTTTTTCACACTACAAGTTGAGTGGATACCATAATCACAATCAATTTTACTGGCTCTTGACCATTACTTTTAAATGAAAAAGTAGTATCAGAGTATATCTCCAGAGTAAAGAAAAGTATTATAATATTTTATACTTTATGAAAATATATAGATCTTGAAGTTCAGATAAAAATATAATGGGCCGAGGGGCCGGCACTGTGGCGCAGTGGGTTAAAGCCCTGGCCTTAAGCGCCTGCATCCCATATGGGCACCGGTTCTAGTCTCCGCTGCTCCTCTTCCAATCCAGCTCTCTGCTATGGCCCTAGGAGAGCAGTGGAAGATGTCCCAAGTCCTTGGGCCCCTGCACCCACGTGGGAGACGAGGAAGAAGTTCCTGGCTCCTGGCTTTGGATCAGCATAGCTCTCGCCGTTGTGGGCAATTGGGGAGTGAACCAGCAGATGGAAGATCTCTCTCTCTGCCTCTCCTCACTGTCTGTAACTCTAACTCTCAAATAAAATAAAATAAAACCTTTAAAATATATATATATATATATATATATAAAAATGGGCCGAGGCCGGCACCGTAGCTCACTTGGCTAATCCTCCACCTGCGGCGCCGGCATCCCATATGAGCACCAGGTTCTAGCCCTGGTTGCTCCTCTTCCAGTCCAGCTCTCTGCTGTGGCCCGGGAAGGCAGTGGAGGATGGCCCAGGTGCTTGGGCCCCTGCACCCACATGTGAGACCAGGAGAAAGCACCTGGCTCCTGGCTTCAGATCGGTGTAGCGCCGACCGTAGTGGCCATTTGTGGGGTGAACCAACGGAAGGAAGACCTTTATCTCTGTCTCTCCATTGTCTAACTCTATCTGTCAAATAATAATATATATATGTGTGTGTGTGTGTGTGTGTGTGTGTATATATATAAAAAATGGGCCATTTTTCTAATTAGGAATGACAACAATCTTCTTCCCTAAAGTACTTCTCTGCTATGATCAAGTAACATCCCCTCCACCTCCCACCCACTCAAAATGTTAACTCTAAGCTCTATGCTTTCACATACGCTGTTCCCACAACTAAAAGGCACTGCCCTTTTTTTGCTACTGAGAGTTCCTGATACAATGCTACAGAAGTCCACTAGGTGTTTACATGTTTGGAAAAGTTATTACTGTTACTTCTGTAATCTGAATAAGAAAACCAGTATATCCTGAAAATAAAATCCTTTTTTCATATTAGTTTCAGATAAGTCTATTGAATATTGATTGCTTCAAACTTTTGCAAATGACATAAGTGGAAAAACATATTTATTATGATGACAATATTAATTAAAAAGGTTATTTAATGATCCTTTCAAAAATGAAACAACTCTTACCTATAGATCTATGTTTTATATTCCGGGTAGATTTTTTTAAAAATACTCTCAATATTAACCAAATTCTTCACATAAACACTTGAAAGCAAAATATTTAAAACAGAGTAAAAAGCCAAGTAAAAGCAATCTTTACATATTTCAGGTAGTTCAGAATCAAAACTAGACTCAACATCAAATGTTATGTGCTCTCCCCCATTTTACCTCTTTGGACATTATCTCTGAAATATTATATGATTCATCTTCCCTTCCTCTTTTCTTTCTCATACCTATAAAAAAGACATTTTATTTTTAATATCAATTAAAACAGAAATATAAATACATATTCTTCAAAACTAGAATAGGGAAATTTACCTGCATTCTCTTCATTTCCATCAACTGAGTTTTTACCCTACAAAACAAGGATTGAAAACTATGTTTACTATGGACCTTCATGGTAGTATATATTAAAGGACAATGATTAACTTGCAACATAAGTGTTCCTTGCAGTTCAATTACATCCAATCAGTCCTTCACTTTTATACTTACCCATATGTAATCTTTTCCTGTACTTCCCTACAATAACTTGTCCATGATCACATCCCTTTGCTTTTGCAAAAGAGCTACACTTTCCTCAGGTATTTTTTTCATTTAGGTAGAGAAATTTCAAAATTAAACACGGAAAACAATATTATTTTGAAATACGACATACATCTTCTGTAATTACATTAATGCAGCCAACATTTCATTGGTACTGTATGGTGCTCAAAGAACTCATTTTCAGTTATATCTATTAAGTTAAATACAGTTGAAAGAGAAGAAAATACTGACTGAATGAAAAATATTAATGAGAGGGTAAACAGTTTCAAAATGAGTTGGAGAAGAGTATTACATCAAGAGTATTGACACGTTCTAACAAAAATTATAAATTTAAAACTGTCTTTAAGTGACGATTAAAACAGAAGAGTAGCCAAAATTTAATGGCTAGCATCTTTAGAACAAGGCAAGAGGAGGAGAAATAGGGGGAAAAAATGGTATAAGAACATGTGGGACAAGTAAAACTATCATGTATGCATACCAAAAGCCCCGTAAGACTCTAGAAGTAGTAAATGAGTCAATTATTATTAACTTTATTTTCTTACAAAATTCTTCATCAAGTACTTTAACATCACCATTAGTCAAACCTAATAATCAAATTAACTAGACTTGGGGCTGGCGCTGTGGCGCAGCAGGTTAAAGCCCTGGCCATATGGGCACCGGTTCTAGTCCCGGCTGCTCCTCTTCCAATCCAGTTCTCTGCTATGGTCTGGGAAAGCAGTGGAAGATGTCCCAAGTCCTTGGGCCCCTGCACCCACATGGGAGACCCAAAAGAAGCTCCTGACTCCTGGCTTCAGATTGGCGCAGCTCTGGCCGTTGCAGCCATCTAGGGAGTGAACCAGCGGATAGAAGACCTCTCTCTCTGGCTCAACCTCTCTCTGTAACTCAGTCTTTCAAATAAATAAATCAAATCTTAAAAAAAAAAAAAAAAAAAAAGAAAGAAACAAATTAACTGGACTTAAGACTTAAAGATATCCTACTTGTTTTATTACATTTTGATATTTCCTAATAAAGGTAGTTAAATAGTTGATTTTTTTTTTTTTATTTATTTGAGAGGCAGACAGAGGTCTTCCATCTGCTCGTTCACTTCCCAAATGGCTGCAACGGCCAAGCTGGGCCAATCTGAAGCCTGGAGCCAGGAGCTTCTTCCAGGTCTCCTACATGGGTGCAGGGGCCAAGCACTTGAGCCATCCTCCACAGTCTTCCCAGACTATTAGCAGAGAACTAGCTCAGAAAAGCAGCCGAACACGAACCCAAATGGAATGCCGATGTTGTGGACAGAGGCTTAACTTACTACCCCAAAGCACCAGTCCCTCTTCCTTTGTTTTAATAGTTGATTTTAATAAAGGCAGTTTAACACCCAGAAGTGTGAGCTCTCAAACAAGTTTTATTCAAATCTCTGCATTATCATTTATTGGATTCTGTGACCATCTGCTAGTTATACTTAGTTCTCATTATTTGCAGTAGTTATGTTCAATATATTCCCTATAAAACAGAATCATCAGGGTTGGCACTGTGGCATAGCGGGTAAAGCCACTGCCTACAGTGCCAGCATCCCATACGGGTGCCGGTTCAAATTCAAACAGCTCCACTTCCAATCCAGCTCTATGCTATGGTCTGGGAAAGCAGCAGAAGACGACCCAAGTACTTGGGACCCTGCAGCCACATGAGAAGAACCAGAGGAAGCTCCTGGCTGCTGCTTCGGATTGGCGCAGCTCCAGCCTATGTGGCCAATTGGGGAGTGAACCAGTGGACAGGAGACTTCTTGATCCAGCTAGCTGCTACGTTCTGGGGAAGCAGTGGAAGATGGCCCAAGTCCTTGGGCCCCTGCACCTGCATGGAAGACCCAGAAGCTCTTGGCTCCTGGCTTCAGATAGGCTCAGCTCCAGCAATTGTGGCCATCTGGGGAGTGAACCAGCAGATGGAAGACTTTGTCTCTCCCTCTCTCTGTAACTGTACCTCTCAAATAAATAAATAAGCCAAATTCAAACATCTAACACATATATATATATATTTTTTTTTTTTTTGACAGGCAGAGTGGACAGTGAGAGAGAGACAGAGAGAAAGGTCTTCCTTTTGCCGTTGGTTCACCCTCCAATGGCCGCTGCCACTAGCGCGCTGCGGCCGGCGTATCACGCTGATCCAAAGCCAGGAGCCAGGTGCTTCTCCTGGTCTCCCATGGGGTGCAGGACCCAAGCACTTGGACCATCCTCCACTGCCTTCCCGGGCCATAGCAGAGAGCTGGACTGGAAGAGGGGCAACCGGGACAGAATCCGGCGCCCCGACCGGGACTAGAAGCCGGTGTGCCGGCACCGCAAGGCAGAGGATTAGCCTATTGAGCCACGACGCCGGCCAATGTATTTTCCCCATTAGGCATATCACACAGTATTTTTCTACTTAGAGTAGATAGCACTTCAGCATATTGGCTGGGGTCCATGTTAACGAGCAAAACACTAACAAAAATGAGAAGGATATATCTAATTATATCATGAGACTACAAACATACTTCACTTTAGCTGGGAATATATTGGTTCAGGAGACAAAATTTTTGCTGCTTTGCATACAAGTGTATCAGTAAATATCCAAACTAGTACCAGGAGGGATGGACATTTGTTCTAGTGGTTAAGTACCAACTGATACACCTGTATACCATACTGGAGTCCCTGGGTTCAATTTTGGCTCCACTATGATTTCAGCTTCTACGTAATGGGTACACAAGTAGGCAGCTTGTAGTAGATCAAGTAGTTAGTTGGGCCCTTGCCACTCATATGGAAGACCTGAACTCAGTTCAGCCGGATCCAGCACAGGCTGTTTTGGGCATCTGGGTAGTAAACAGGCAGATCAGAGTGTGCATGCTATTTGTCACTCTGTGCCTCTCACATAAATAAAACTTTGACAAATCAAAATTCCTTTTTTTAAAAAATGCCAAGAATATTTGGGGGTTATATTTTAGGTAGTAGGTATATTCATAAATACAGAATTTGTAAATAATAACAACTATTACTTTGGGGCCAGCATTGTGGCATAGCAGGTTAAGCCTCTGTTTGTGATGACAGCATCCCATATGGGTGTTGCTTCAAGTTCCAGCTGCTCCACTACCAATCCAGCTCACTGCTAATGTCCTTGAGAAGGCAGTGGAAGCTGACCCAAGTGCTTGGGCACCTGCACCCACATGGGAGACCTGAAAATAGCTTCAGGTTCTTGGCTTCAGCCTGGCCCAACCCCAGCCCCAGCTATTGTGGTCATTTGGGGAGTAAACCAGGGGATGAAGATCTCTCTTTCTGTAACTCTGCCTTTCAAATAAATAAAAATAAATCTTAGAAAACTGTTATTCTATCTTCTTGTATATTTCTTTATATGTAAAATATCCAAGGGTACTTTAAAATGTTTGTAGAAAATAGAATTAAAAGGTAAGTTTCTTTTGGTATAAAAATTTTTGAAATCCAGCTCTATGAGGGGCCCTCTAAAAGTTCATGAGAAAATGCATATTATGAAAAAAAGGACTATTTCAAAATATTTTGCAACAAAACGAAGATCTTTTAATTCCATTTTTCTCTTCTAGAAACACTCTTAAAAAACATTAAAAGTATCTCTACCTAATAGAATTTTGAGAATTAAGATATTTATATAGAATATCTGACACAAACTAAGTATTCAATAATTACACTCTTTATTATTTCTCTTTTTCACTAGTGCAACTGTACATTAAGCATTCCAAAAGAGCTGGTCACTTATACAGATTTCATCATTATGGGAAACAATTCACAGAATGAAAAATCTCAAAGGATCATACTTGGCTCTCATTCTGTTCATTAAGTACTGAAAAAGACTTTACACATTTCTATAAGCTTGTAAAAAAGATATGTTATCAAATTTAAAAATTTTAAATTAAGTAAATGAGTAAGAAGTCAAAAGGATACAAAAATAATTTCTCTAGTATTTCAGGTAATTTATTAAAAAATTCTGAGGGTGGTATTTGGTTTAGTGGTTAAGACACTACAGATATCTGTATCCCATATTGGAGTACCTGGATTTGAGTCCTAGTTCAACTCCTGATTCAAGTTTTCTGCTAATCTGCACCCTAGAAGGCAACAGAAGATGGCTCAAGTCAACAGTTCCCTGCCACACATGCAGGAAACCTAGAGTAAGTTCTCAGATCCCAGCTTCACTTCCTTGTATGGGAGTATTTATTGCAGGTATTTGCAGAGTGAATCAGGAGAATCAGAAGATGAGAGCTCCCCATTTGTCTCACTCTCCCCACCTCTCCATTAAATTAAGAAAACAACAAAAAAACACTTGGCTTGCTGAGTTACCTTTGTAACTTTTAAAGATCCCTTTTTTCTCTCCAATTTCTCTTTCTTCTTCTGTTCCTGTAAAATAATTTTTCAGTGTCACAAGCGAAGACAACAAATAAAACATGAATCTCAAATAATTTATGTTCATAGTAAGAAAACTACATAATTATTTAAAAACAAAGAACTCACACTTCAAACCTTTAGAGAGTTAGTAGGAAACAGATTTACTCTCCTGTCATAAACAATTAAAACCCAGATAAAATATATCAAACAATGGTTTTCAGAAAACATAACAACAAAGAACAGTGAACACTGATAAAAGGAGAACTAACGAGGTGAATTTTCTTATTTCCCAGCTTAATGCCTGAAGGCCATTTCCAAGCATAAATAAGGAAGGTAGAACTGAAACAGAGTCCACTGCCTCTTTGAATTAAACAGACAGAATTCAAAACAGAGCTGCTAACATTCCCAAGGCCAAGCACCAAAGAAGAAATAGCTGTACAGAAAAAGCTAGTCTCTCAAAATTCTTCAGGTTGAATATTAGCAAGTAAATGAACATAAGGAAACCAAGACTAGGAAAAGAGTCACCAGAACGAAACATGAGGAACAATTTCCTATGCTTATAAGGAAGGGGTCAAAAATAAGGAAAAGTTCACATTTCCTCTGCCACAATAGGAAAGGGTTAATACATGGGGCACTTCCAATATTTAGAAGTGGGACAAGTTATTTCTAGACTAAAAGCTGTTCTTAATGTATCCTAACAAATTTTAAATGCAAGACACCAAAGAATTTAAACCATTTCTAAGAACTGTTTAAACAGTGAATTACACTGAGCTCATTAAAATAATATGTCATATGAAAATGCAATGGGAAAAAAAGAACAAGACTGTTCAGGAGTGTTAGCAACTTTGAGGCTGTCAGGGCAGGCCTCAATGAGAAAACATTTAAACCAAGACTTGAACATGATGATAAGGCAAGCTGATACAAGAGAACTTTTGGTAATGATTATAAATTACATTCCCTCAGCTGTACTGGTAGCTATACAGAGTCTATACAGTCAAAGGTCAAATTCATCACTTGCAGGAATTTGGACTCCTGGTTAAGACACCAAGTTGGAATGCCCATATTCTGTACTGTAGTTGCCTAGGTTTGAGTTCTGGTTCCACTCTCAATTCCACCTTCCTGTTAGTGAGCACCCTAGGAGACAAGGATGATAGTTCAAGTGGTTGGAATACTAACTTATAGTCAAATCACATATACCTACCTCTAATTGTTGTTGCTCCATTTTAGTCAATAAAAATTTGGAGTAGATATTGCTTTTCTCCAGCAAATGTTGAAGTCTACGGTACCGAATTTCCATGGACTCTCTGTCCCAAGACATGCGAGCCTACCCAAAGAAAAAATTTCCAAAATTACTAATGTTTTATGACATTGAGTTTTTACATAAGGTTCCATGAAACTAGCTACCATACAACCCTTGGGTCTAAGATATTTCCTGTAATTAATGAAAATCCTTACAACATTAAATTTATTTACTACAGATAATCTCTTTTCTAAAGCAAAAACTGGACCATGGGTAAGCATTTGGCCTAGCAGTTAAGATGTCCTGTCTCCTATCAGACTGCCTCGAATCCATACTCGGCTCCAGCCCCTGACTTCAGCTACCTGCTCATGTAGATCCAGGGAGGTAGGGAAGCCAACTCTGGCTCCAGTCCTGGCCATTATGGATCTTTAAAAAGAGTAAATCAACAGACAGGAACTCTTTCTCTCTGCCCCTCAAATTTCAGATAGTGGACATATAGTTTCTCACATTTACTGAGTCAAAGATCCATTTAAAAAAAATTAGAGGGGCCAGCGTTGTGGTGTCATGGGTAAAGCTGCTGCCTGCCAACACCAGCATCCCATATGGGCACTGGTTCATGTCCTGGCTGCTCCACTTCCAATCCAACTCCTGGGAAAAAAAAGTAGCAGAAGATGGTCCAAGTGTTTGGGCCCTGCCATCCACGCAGAGACCCAGATGAAGTTCCTGGCTTCAGCCTGGCTCAGCCTTGGCCACTGGGGCCATCTAGAGTGAACCAGTGGATGGAAGACCTCTGTCTCAGTCTCTCCCCCTCTCTCTGTAACTGATTTTCAAGTAAATCTTTAAAAAGAAAATCAGAAATTATCATGAGTGTTGTAGCACAGGTTAAGCCACTTTTAGATGTCTGCATCACATTATCAGAGTGCCTTGTTCAAGTCTCTGCTGCTCCTACTAACAATTGGCTTCCTGATAATGCTCACCCAGAAGGCAGCAGATGATGGCTCAAATACTTTGTCCCTATCCCATGTGGGAAACCAGGATGGAATTCCTGGCTCCTGGCTTCCACCTGGTACAGCACAAGTTACAGCAGGCATCTGGGGAGCGAACCAGTAGATATAAAATAATTCTCCCTCTCTATCATGCTGCCTTTCAAATAAATCTTTTTAAGAAGTTAGAAATCAAAATTTAGAAAATATTTAATGCATGTTGGATATATTTTTAAACAATAAAACGCTTTTTTAAATACATATAAAATCCTGTGTTATCAGTTTTATTTCAAAGAGCAATAAAATAAAAAATTTCTTTGGTCAAAGAATAAAACATCTTATTTTAGAATTCTAGAACTATACTATGAAACTATGAACAAGAGGGGCCAGCACTGCAGCACAGGGTTAAGCTGCCACTTGTGATGCCACCATCCCATCCTGGAGTTCCAAATTAGTTCCTTACTAATGTACCAGAGAAAGTAGTAGCCAGTGGCCCAATGTTTGGACCTCTGCTACCCATAAGGGAGACCCAGAGAGTTCTGGGCTCCCTGGTTCAGCCAGACCTAGCCTCAGGCATTTAGACAACTTGGGAATGAAACAGAGGGTAGAAGATGCCTCTCTTGCTCCGCCTTTCAAATAAATAAATCTTTTAAAAAAGAAAAGGGTAATTGAGTCTATGGCTGAGAAAGAACCCTCCCTCAATTCACAATGACAAGAATGTTAAAATATTTTAAAAGTTCACCACCATGGGGCACAAGGCAGAAAATAATTTAAAAAGTTAAATAGTTCAGTAGTCTATAAATTTTTTCTGTAAAGAGCCAGATAGTAGGTATTTCAGTATGGAACACTGGTCTCTATTGTAAATACCCAATTCTGCCTTAGAAGCAGTCAAGGACAGTAAGTAAACAAACAGGTATGGTTGTGTTCAAATAAAACTTTATTTACACAAACAGCTGCAGGGCAAATCCAGATCATAATCTACCAAGTCAATGTAAACTGAATTCCATAAAAAGCACCAAAGTGGGCTTAAGTGAGTCAAGTCAGAGTTTAATTCATCTATCAAAATTAAGGTATATATAAACCTGACAAATCAACAATTATACTCCAGAGACTATGAGTACAGGTGCCCCTATCCAGGCCATTTAAATCAGTTCAGATCCAGGATTGAAAACTATTTTGTAGTTCAAAGTTATCTGCATAGAACATTTTGGAAATAACTGCCAATACAATTCATATTGCCTAAGACACAAAACAGATATTTAGTCAACATTATCATTTTTTTTAAAAGATTTATTTATTTGAAAGGCAGAGTTATAGAGAGAGAGCGAGAGGTCTTCCATCCACTGGTTCACTTCCCAATTGGCCGCAACAGCCAGAGCTGCGGCAATCCGAACCCAGGAGCCAGGAGCTTCCTCTGTATCTTCCCACATCCTCTACTGCTTTCCCAGGCCATAGCAGAGAGCTGGATCAGAAGTGGAGCAGCCGAGACTTGAACCGGTGAACATATGGGATGCTGGCAAAGCAGGCAGTGGCTTTACCCAATAAGCGACAGCACCGGCCCCAATATTATCTTCAAATGTCAATTCCATGGGCTGGTGTTGTGACACCAACTGCTCTATTTCCCATCCAGCTCCCCTACTAACAAGGAGCAAAAGATGGCCCAAATACTTGGGCCTTGCCACCCAAGTGGGAGACTTGGTTGGAGCTTCAGGCTTCTCACTTCAGTCAGGGAAGTGAAGCAGATGAAAGCTCTCTTGTTTCTGTATCTCTCTATTTCTCCCTCTCTCTCTCTCTCTCTCTCTCTCTCTCTCTCTCTGTAACTCTGCCTTTTAAATAAATAAATCTTTAAAGAAAAAAAGTCAATTCTTTAACATCAATCCAATTCAGTCAATCAACAAACATACGGGGAAGCACCGAATCTACACTACATCATATAAAGTTACTGGATAGAACACAGAACATTGACTTACACTATAGATGAGCTGATATATTATCTGAAAATAACAAGCATTAAAAGGTACGGATACACTTAGTATTTAAACTGTACAGTACAAGCTATAAATTCTAAAATATAAAGAATTGTTAAAATTTAAGAAATCAGATTGCAGGAAATAGATGACATCAATGCTATAGGACAGATAAATGACTGAAGAGCTCAAAAATAGTTCTTGCAGTAAGCACTTCACTTCCCTGACTGAAGTGAGAAGCCTGAAGCTCCAACCTAGTCTCCCACTTGGGAGTGTCTTAACAACAGCACTAAGAATCATACTTAAGTCACTTTAGAATTACAAAGATCTTTATAGATTTGGTAACACATACATTTCATTTTATATAGTCTAGAGAAATTCTTATCCATTTTACCCAGCTATGTGGCAGATTTAGTGTTTTGCTTTTTCAACTAAAACCAGTCATCTACTTTTCAACCAATATGAATAGAGAGGGAAAAAAAAAAATACAAGCCAAGGAAAAAATCCTAACTGCTCCTTCCACCACAGTTAGTGGTTTCAAGTTAGAAGAAAGCAGCTAAGAGTTTAAACTGGCTGGAAATCAGGAGCTATGAGTTCATTTTTATATTCTAATACACCCCAACACCTTGCATATTGTACCATGGTCATTTTGCTACTCCAGCTTGTGATCTCTAAGACGTCATTGCATATTATTGATTATACCTACCTAGATATTATATCACATTAGCTTTCTTTTACAATAAGTATTACAAAAGCAATGGCAATAGTATGATATCTAAGAGAATAAGAAGTGCATTACAGAAAAACTGAAAGTCAAAAAATGCACAAATCACTCATTATCCTAGTTAACAATTTTTCAAACTCTTCTAGAACAGCCTTCCTTTTACTATTACCAATTTACTTCTGTGACTGCAATAGGCAGCCAATGAGAGATGAATATTATAAACAGTATACAAAAATTATTTGAACTTTAGAAATGAATTTTTTAAATTTTGGTACAAAAAAATGGTACAAAAAACATTTCAGGTCTAATTTAAATCTACTTACTATCTTAAATCTGTACAGAACAAATCAGCACATACTTTAAAGTAATTACTTTAAGATGCCATAAATGAAAAATTTCATTAAACCATACCAATGGCTAATCTTTCAACCCAGTTTTTCGTGTTTCAAAATCTTCCTATCTATCATTACTCTGTCTTAAATTAGCAATTTCATTGTTACATTACAGTGAGTTTGCAGTTCCATCTGTGGAAAGAAAGCATGGAATGTCCAGCAGGAAGCATTTCTGGGTGGCTAGACTGCAAGAGTATGCCATTGAACATAGGGTACAAATTCCCCATTGTCTCTTCCAACTTTTCTGTTACTATTTCAACCTATACCCAATGTGAACCCTTTTACCTCTCCAAGAAATACTCCAACCCCAACCTTTCCCCTTCCCCAATTCATTGGTAATGGTACTCTTTAAATCTTCCAGACTAACAAAAAGTCCTTTTAAAAGGAAATGTACTTGAAAGTCAAAGCAAATAACTTCAGCAAATGAATGTAAAGCTCTAGGCTCTTCACAAACTTTAAAATTCCTAAAGCAAAGTAAATGCTTCTCATTAAGAAACTAAGGTAGCTCCTTCTCTCCTGTTTCTAAATCTCTGCCCATAAATACTGTATTCTCCCCAAATAAAAGAATCTTCACTTTTGTATAACAGTTTTTTAAACTCCAAAAACATTTTTAATCTCAAATAGGAAGATTCTAAAAGTTAGTATTAGAATTCTCCACAGTCATCACAGCAATAACTGTTTATAAGTGTCAAGTATAAAACTGTATTTAATACAAACTCCTCAATATCTGTACATTAAAAAAAATGTAATAACTATAGATCATGACATGACTTTAAAGCAAATTATACATTTGTACTGGTAAGGCTAGAAAGATCTGTTAACTCTTTAATGGAAAGATTGACCATGAATGGGGATTGAAAATTACTGTTTGGTTCTAGAATGCATAACTGCTGAAGAAAAGCTATTGACAGCAGGCCTATCCCTTGGTAACAATTTCAGTAAATTCAAGACTCACTACATAATGATTAAAAGCTTTTAAATGCCACTGAAAGCAAGAGTCATTTTGACTAATTTTCATCAGCAGCAAATACATACATAACTATGTACTTTGACAGATCTGTTTTAAACGTATGAAGAACATTTCTTCCCCTAAACTAATGCTAAACTAACATTCAAGCTATCCTCCAAATGGTATTTCCCTACAACACTCTTCATGGCTGTGTTAAACAGAATAAAGATGAAAATGCACTTCTTAAGATGAAGATTATGTTCCTCCTACAACTTCTGGTCAATGACAGATAATTAGCAACAGCATTAGTATTACTAGAGTGAAAGTATAGCATGGTAGTTTAAAAGTGTGAATTCTGGAACCACAGAGACTACATTCAAATCTTGGCTCTGCCATTTGCTAACTGTGGCATCGCAGGTAACTTCTATACACCTCAGCTTCCTCAACTGTAAAATTAGGTAAACAGAACCTTCAATAACGGTTCACTAGTCATTAAATTACCAAGTTTAAAAACTGATAACTTTATAAAAAGTAGCTACTTTACAGAATAATTAGTTGGATTCAGTGAGTAAAACACATAAAGCATTCAAAACAATACCCAACTTATAATACAAGCAGTCTCTCAAAAGTTCATGGGAAATGTGTATCAGTTTTTGTTCATGAATATTTTGAAATATACTCACAAATGCTCGTGTTATCAACGGCTGACAAAAAATCCTTATTATTGATAGAAGAGAGAAGGGAACCAACTGATTCATCACATGCTTTTGAGTGCACTGTTTTCCCACTCAAATGTTTTGTAATTGTGTTAACTCACTACTAAATTATGCATTTCCTGAGGGGCACAGCGGTTAAGGACAGGAACTCTGGAGACAGCCTAGTTCAAATTTGACTTCTGTGGCCAACTATTTCAGTGTCTTGGTTTGTAAACAGGGACCACAAAAGCACCTATATCATACTATTGGTATGATGAAATAAATTAATATAAGAAAGTCAACACACACTACTGAGCTGCCTATCACTCTTTTTCATGTTTATACAACAAGTAAAGCAGTAGAGTAGGCATTCAGAATAAGCAAAAACTAGTTAACTACTAGCGTACAAAACAGATTTTCTGTATGAGAAAGTACAAGTACAATAACCTGCCACCATAAACAATGCATCGCATTTTTAGCTGAAGAATCTTATTTGCAAACAGAAACCCCCAAGGAACCAGAAACAAAAAGAGAAAGCAATTTCATCACTTAGTTGGGAAAATGGCACAAAACTGGAACAAACAATGTCATAGACCGGGATGCCAGCCCACTCTTGAATGCCAACTTCAACGGAACGCCCTCCATCTCACTCACACCCACATTTACTTCTAGAGGTTTTCTAGATCGCTTGCTCTTAGGCTTACATTTCAGGCACTAATTTAAATAAGCAAAGGCAAAGCTCTTTCCTCAAAGAGATGAGCCCACCTTGCAGCGTAGCAAGACTGCACCTTCCAACAGCACAGCACCCAAGGATGCACAAGCTACTCAGAGACAGTGTCCGTACACACCCACACCCCACCCACCCCCCCACACACACACACACGCAGTCACAGAGCAGCTCTCAGGAGGCCGAGACCCCACCCCAACACTTGCGAGGGCACAAACCACCCGTCCCGGGGAGCCGCAGGTTCCCGGCGGCCTTCAGAACAATGAACTTAATTCGCAAATTACCTTTTCGAGCATCTTCCGCTCCCTCTCCAGTCCGGCGGCCTCCAGCTGCTCCTCCTCCTCCAGCATGGCTGGGGTAATCACGGCGCTCTCCTGCCGTCCCACCATTTCGGGAGCCGGGGGCCCTGCCGGGAGAAGGCTTTCACACCGCCGTCCCGCAAACCGGCCCACTCCTCTGCTCCGACGTCAGACCACCGTCCTCGCTTCCCACAGGCATCGGAAGCCGGAGCGGGAGACCCGCGGGGCCGCCAGCATCGTCCGCAAGTGCTCTGCGCCCCGCAGTACGGACCAGGATGCGCGGCCACACGCTGCCCCCCGCCCGGGTGAAGGCGCTTCCATCACGCAAATCTGTGCGGTCCCGAGGTGTCCTCCCCTCTCCCTCCTCACTCCCCAACCGGGAAGGAAACCTCCCCCAAGCTCCGCCGCAGACTCCGTGCCGCCCGCAGACGGTTCTCCTCACTCACCGCCGCTACTCGCGGGCTGCTCGGCCGGCATGGCTGGACCCTCAGCACTGGAACCAGGTCCCCGCCTCTCCGCACCTGCAAAGCCGCCCGCTAATTCCTCACAGCGGCCGCTCGGCCAGCCTTCCACTCAAGAAGCCGGCCAGGGAAAAACGCGCGCTTCTACTTCGCGGGAAAATTCTGTCCTCTCGCGATATCTCCTGCCGCTCGCCCGCCTTCCGGCCTGGGCGGGCGGCGCGAGATTTGGCGCAGTGAGTGATTTCCTTAGGACCCGGCGCGGCGCGGTAGCCAAGGTGAGCGCTGCTATGGAGCTGGTCCTGGGAAGACGGGGTTCTGCTCAGTTCGGCGTTTTAGCCACGTCTGTGGTACTGGACGAGTCGGCCGAGAGCGGAGCGCCCGGTCCTCAAGCAGTTGGTGAAAATTCCGAACTCCGCAGTAGTTCAGTAGCGCGCTTAACAGTTTGCAAGGCACCTTCCCGCACTCGCTGAAGAGATGGAATACCCCTAGCAGACAGCCTCGCGAGTTATCCTAGGAAAGGTGTAGGAGAACAAACACTGCCAAGCTCCTAGGCCAGCGGCAGCGCGCCGTGGCCGGAGCAGGGCTCCTCTGTGGGTGGGAAGGGGGAAAGAGGGGCGTGGTGTTTACATTGGACAGCGTCCTGGAAAGCCGTTTAGGATCAGGGAAAGCTGAATGCAGTGGTAAACGGAGCGCCCAGCAGGTGCAAGATTCAGAACCCGGAGAGAGCAGTCATTAGCGTGGGCGCTGAAGGGGCTTTTCGTTACTGGTTTTCGCTTCAGCGTTCAACCTCACTGTTCTATACCGCGATCCTTTTCAGCTATTGACTTTGTCACCCTCTCCTGTCCGCCCCCAGTTCCTCAGACTAAGCGGTATACCTCTTTCATTTCTTTAATGCTATAGTGCACAACATTTTGGGGTAGGCCACAGAAAGCTTATAATTCACGTCTATCACAACCATCTTCCACACCTTCAAAACAGCACGGCGTTCCACACAGTGGTTATGCCAGCCCTTCGACGCCCACATTCAAAGTCAGCGTGCCTGGGGCCCCGGCCCCTCCTGATCCCGCTTCCTGCTAAGGCACAGTTGTGGGAGGCAGCAGGTGATGGCTCAAGTGCTTGGGTCCCTCGTGACAGGCCAGATCCAATTCATGCTTTGGCATGCCCCAGCCTTGGTTGTTAGGGAAATCTAAGGATTGAACCAGAGGATGGGAGAACTCTTCTCTGCCTTCCAAACCAAACCGAACCAAGCAAAACAAAAAAACTGAAGATTAGTAGAGCAGATTATTTTTATTCCTGCATTACATGCGAGAAAACCTATGTTCAGAGAGGATAAATTGACTTGTCCAGAAGCCTACTTTTTGATAATACAGGAGGAAAACCTGATGTTTTGGTCATGGGGCCAGTACTGTGGCATAGTGGGTAAAGCTGCTGCCTGTGGTACCAGTTCCAGTCCTGGCTGCTCCACTTCTGATCCAGCTCTCTGCTATGGCCTGGGAAAGCAGTAGAGGATGGCCCAAGTGCTTGGGCCCCTGCATCCACATGGGAGGCCCAGAGGAAGCTCCTGGTTCCTGGCTTTGTATCAGTCCAGCTCCGACAAGTTGCAGCCATCTGGGGAGTGAACCAGCAGATGGAAGACTGACCTCTCTCTCTGCCTCTGCCTCTTTATAACTCTTTCAAATAAGTAAATAAATCATTTTTTTAAATAAAGTTCTGGGCCACAGCTCACTAGGCTAATCCTCTGCCTGCGGCGCTGGCATATCGGGTTCTAGTCCCGGTCGGGACACCGGATTCTGGTCCCAGTTGCCCCTCTTCCAGGCCAGCTCTCTGCTGTGGCCCGGGAGTGCAGTGGAGGATGGCCCAAGTCCTTGGGCCCTGCACCCGAATGGGAGACCAGGAGAAGCACCTGGCTCCTGGCTTCGGATCAGTGCGGTGTGCCGGCCGCAGCAGCCATTGAGGGGTAAACCAACGGAAAAAAGGAAGACCTTTCCGCTCTCTGTCTGTCTCACTGTCCACTCTGCCTGTAAAAAAAAAAAAAAAAAAGGTCTGGGGGCCAGTATCATGGCACAGTAGGTTAATCCTCCACCTGCGGCACTGGCATTCCACATGGGCGCTGGTTCGAGTTCCAGCTGTCCCTCTTCCAATCCAGCTCTCTGCTGTGGCCTGGGAAAGCAGTAAATGATGTCCCAAATCCTTGGGCCCCTGCCCGTGTGGGAGACTGGGAAGAAGCTCCTGGCTCCTGGCTTCAGATCAGTGCAGCTCCAGCCATTGCGGCCATCTGGGGAGTGAACCAGTGGACGGAAAACCTTTCTCTCTGTTTCCTCTCCCTCTCACTGTCTATAACTCTACCTCTCAAATAAGTAAATAAAATCTTTAAAAAAAAAAAAGTTTTGGTCATGCACTTTGAAAGGTCTATATTTAAATGCTCCCAGGGTACTAGAACTGTTAAAATGACTGTACAACTATGAATCAGACAAAACTCCTGTAGGTAGGAAACTACATTCTGTGAGTTGCGGCAAATAAGAAAGGGTAGAGGGGAATGCTCTGCAAAGTAGTATACTAGAGTAGGATGTTGTGAGGATGACTGGTGGTTATTTTATATTGTATAATCTGGTATCTGAAGAAGTGACAGACACTAAAGTAGAGAACCAAATGTCAAGATGCTAGCCAGACCAGGGAAAGAGTAATCCAAGCAGAAACTACAGACAATGCAGAGAGACTAAGGCAGAAATAAGCCTGGGCGTGTTTGAGAATCACAAGACCAATCTGACTGAAGAAGAGTTGGCAAGGGGGAGTGGCAGAAAAAGTCAAAGGCATTGAGATGTTCTTCTAAGATAGTACAAGTCATTTTTCCCCACCACTTCAAATGTCTTGCTCTTTTAGAATCCTTTTAAAATTAATGGTAACATTATCCACCCAATCATAGCAGTCCAAATAAAACTGTTCTGTTCCTTCTTGTGCTAGATGATCCCATCTTCTCCCTACCTCACAGAGTAAACAGTAGCTACAAGACAGAACTCTTCAGATTTCCAAAATCTTATTTACAAACCTACTAGCATATGAATACCTATTCCACTTTGCCTGTTCACATACTCTGGATCCAACTCCCTGCAGCCTACTCAGGTATCATAGATTACATGTTATTCCATTCTGTTTCTTAAACCTCTACTGAATCCTTTACATTAGTATTCCAACACTCAAATCTCTCCCCACCTTAAAGAAAAAAAGGGGGGGGAACCTCCTTTTCACTTCTAACTATTCACAGCTTTCTCTTCCCTTTATAATTTACTTTAGAAATTATCTACAACGGGGGCCAGCGCTGTGGCACAGAGGGTTAAAGCCCCAGCCTGCAGTGCTAACATCCCATATGGGTGCCAGTTTGAGACCTGGCTGCTCCTCTTCTGATCCAGCTCTCTGCTATGGCCTGGATGGAAAGCAGTAGAAGATGGCCCAAGTCCTTGAAAGAAGCTCCTGGCTCCTGGCTTCAGATCAGCTCAGCTCTGGCTGGTGCGGTCATTTGGGGAATGAACCAGCAGATGGAAGATCTTTTTCTGTCTGGCTCCACCTCTCTGTGTAACTCTTTCAAATAAATAAAATAGAAAAAAAAAACCACATTGCTATCTTTTAAAAAATTAAAAAGAAAGAAATTATCTACATGAGCAATCTTTAACTACTTGACTCCCACTGCTGCCTTTACCATCTGTCTGGCTGCCACTCGACACAAACAGTAGCTTGTTAAGGTAATCAGTGACCTCCCTGTTGCTAAACATAATAGACATCTCTTAGCTTAGTTAGCTCAATCTCACTGTGGCATAACACTGTTAATCACCACTCTGTGAAAATACCCTTGTCCCTTATCTTCTCTGACCCACTCTCTCCTGATATTCCTTTTTTTTTTTTCTTTTTTTGCCAGGCAGAGTTAGAGAGAGACAGGGAGAGAGTTATAGACAGTGAGAGAGAGACAGTGAAAAAGGTCTTCCTTTCACTGGTTCACTCCCCTAATGGCCGCTATGGCCAGCGCTGTGCTGATCCGAAGCCAGGAGCCAGGCACTTCCTCCCGGTCTCCCATGCATGTGCAGGGACCCAAGCACTTGGGCCATCCTCCTCTGCCCTCCTGGGCCACAGCAGAGAGCTGGACTGGAAGAGGAGCAACTGGGAGTAGTACCCGGTGCCCCAGCCAGGACTAGAACCTGGGGTGCTGGCACCGCAGGCAGAGGATTAGCCAAGTGAGCTGCGGCGCCGGCCCTGATATTCCTATTTCTGACTTTCACCAGTTCAACATTTGTAAGTATTGAAATATCAGAATGAACCAGAAATAATTTGAGTTTCTGGCCAATAGCATAATCTTGTATAAAAATTGTAAATGAAAGGTAAGTTCTGTGAGAAATGGAGCAAAATAAAAAGAATCCAATCACCCATATGTATCATAGGTAGCACCAGGCAATATTTGGAGTACTAGCAATTCAATAGTAAATAAACTCCATTGTACTTAGAGTGGAATAAATGAGGGTACATGGGAGTTGAAAGTGCACAGATGGGCAGTGACCAGATCAAGTTGGATCTTGTAAACCAGGATAAAGACTTCGGGTTTTTATTATGAGGAAAGTCATTAGAGGATCTTGAGAAGGAAATGATGGAGTTCAATGACACTTTTAGAAAATCATAAAACATACAATCTGATTAAAAATTTAATGAGACCTGTTTATTTTCATGGGCTCACATACATGAGTGTAAAAATTAAATCAGAACATGATAAGTGAGGTAGCACCTTACTGAAATACAATTAAAGTCACATGGTATAATTTAAAATTAGAATAAACCCTGTCATTAAAATGATCTCCTATATATCGTCTCAGTTGAAAATGAAGTCCAAACACAGGTGTCAGAGCCTTTTATAAATCTATAAAAAAATTTCAAGTAAATATTTCCCTTTCAAATTTTCTTAGGAATATCTAAAATTAAAAGCCTTGGGATTCATGTAGTAATCAAAATACAACATCAGTAAGGTCTAGACCAGGAGAATCCAAAGTTTCACTTTCTGGTTCTGTAATATCATTATATGAAGATGAAAAATGAGAAAATACTATAGATCCTGATTGCTGTGAATTTTATATACTCCATCAAGTCTTTATTAGGTTATCACTTATGTTTTTATTACAAAGTGATTTTCCAAATACATTATATGGTACAAAAGTCATTTACCTTAAATTTAATAAAACCATGAAATACTATTTACTTAAATGTTCAACAGGTGAAACATTTTGGCAATGTAATTTTTTTAAGGTCAACTTTCCTCTCTAAAGTTTTTTAGAAAATAAATCTAGCACACAAAAAGAAATGTGCACAGTAAAACTTCATTAATTTGGACTGAGGAACAATCAATACAAACAGTAGAATGCTTGAAAGGAAGAGCCAATTTTCTAACTTCCCAGGCATTAGAAATTTATGTAGCCTAACAAAATATTAAGAAGCAGGACATAGCATATAAGTAGGCTTAATAAATGTCACTTCAGTAATTAAAATTTCCATGTAATGCACTTTTATTGCAATTACACTCTTAGTATGCAAACAATATCTTTAAAGGACAAGGCTTTCTCTGAAGCAGCTACTTTCCCTGAAATCTGGCTTGAAATATCTTTATTTTAGTTTTTACATGCGGTGAAATAGTGACGTTTTAATGAAGTTTTACTACATTTGAGAATTTAACTTTTAGACAATGTCAACAGCAAAATAATATGAATTCATTACAAAAAAAACACTTTCTTTCCAGAGGTAACACTATATTAATTGTTTATGGCAAATTAAAATGATTGATTTTCCAATGCTACCTCACATCTTTCTTGCCTCGTTTATTCCAGTCTCTACTGTTTGAACATGCTTTTTGAGTATAAGTTAATTTTATCCTATCTAAACAAAAATAGGAACTGAAAAATCAAGATAAACCATATGACATTATGAAGTACAAGTTTCCTGATTATATGTTTTAGAATCGTACCTTCTAACAGTACACATTCAATAGAATTGACTGCTATAGGTAGAAACAGCATTAGTTCCTAAGCTACAATGAAAAATGTCATCTTGAAATCAGAGGCTCTGCAAATTTGTATGCTCTTTTGTAAAGGCTGCCTAACTTGTAAAGTTAAACAATAACAAACCAATAACATCATATGAATGGAATCAATGCAAAAGAAATCAGCAAATGCTGACTTCAGAAGACTATACTAGTCATTCGAGACCTCTAGTAACATTTAAATATTAGCAATGCAGAACAGGGCTAAAGGATATATTAAGTAGACAAGCAAATAAAACCTTAAATCTCAGAATGTCTTAAATATTTTAGGAGTTTTTTTAATTTTAAATATACTTTAACCAAAAACAAACAATCCTGCATATTCTGACCACATGAATAACCACATATTGCCTATATACAGTTTCAAGGGAAGATATAATATTTAGCTGCCAATGTTGCCTTTCAAAAGACAAGGCCTAGTGCATCCCTTGGAAGAGAAATCTGACCAAAAAAAAAAAGCGTATTTCTTTTTTTCCCTCAGGATGTGGTTTAATAAACTAGATATCCCCAAAGTAATGAAGACTCATTTCAAGTAAATACTCTGCTTATAAGTTTTATTTACACAGTTACTGTTACTAGTGGTTTTTAGTGGATTCTTTATATTTACACTTTATATACACATTTATACTTGAAAGGTAAAGAAACTGTACAATAAGAAAAAAAAATAAGAAAAAGGAATACAGTAACATAGATCCAACTTAGGCAACAAATACATAAAAGTAAGATTAAATTTAGGCAGGTAGTATAACCTCAGTGAGATTACTGCTAGACATTACATTCCCTCTATCAGGAATATCAATACCAAGGAAGTAGCTACCAGAGTTAAAAGGTCATCCTAAAACTTGTAAGATCCTAGAAACTCCCTCGATATTGTATTACACTACCAGTTACCATTAAGCAAGGCTCTCTAAAAGGAGTTAACTTCTGAGGGTTCCAATAGTAGTCCCTAGGCTAGAATGACCAATGACATAAAATTCCATGGGCACCCTCTGGTCCCATACTCTTTAAGAGGCAGTCATTACACTAACAAGGATCTTGGGCTTGTTAGCTTGAAGACTGTAGATATACCACTAACAGAAATAGTGTGTTTATGTGTTGTTTCAAAACAAACTGCAACATAAAAACACAGCATAAATTAATTAACCAAATAGCATGTTAAACAAGTATCATAACACTCAATGACTTAGTTTAAGTTCAAAAAATTAAACATAATAAATTTAATGCCAATTTACCAATGATTAATATTCTTTATTATGCTATCAAAGTAGAACTCAGAAAAAAAGTTAATTTTACTTTTTCTTTGATTTCCATTGATTAGAAAAAATATGCATAGTGTTTTACAAGTCATGGACTTAGCTATTATTAAGATTTCAACTGAAATTAATGAATTTTGCTTCTATAGATAATGGAGGAATTTTTTAAAAATTTAATCTTGTCAAGTAGTACACTATTTAAGAACTCTTAGAATTCATTACTTTTTAGTCTTACCAGTGAAATACCTCATTTATATTTTTGGACTTAACTCCCAAAGTTAAGTCTTTAGTCCATTAAAGTGCAAAGAACTTCTATCACTTATTTAGTTTTCTTAATGTTAAAATACCAGATGAACAACTTGTTACACTAGGGTGAAAAAAAAAAAAGGATAAAAATTCTTTAAGTGATAGGAATTCCTTAAGTAAGAGAAAAAAATTACCTTCCAAAACAAATAGACACAATATTGTGGGGGAAAGCCCAAACAAATAATTAACAATCTCCCACCAATATTTCTAGTTACCACATAACACAGATTTTCCCCAATTTGTGAATGAAGGTGACAACTTCCATGACTTAATTTACAACCAGAGTTGCTTATTTTTTGTCTGTCATATTTTCAAAGGGTCAGCACTGGAGATAATATCTATAAAACAGTATTTTTGGAAGTTAGAGTACTATTTAACAGTCTTACTCTGACCTCCAAAGTGCAATTGTGGTAATTATTTAAGAAGAAAGGACGTAAAAATTGGAAGGATTTTTTAGGCTATTTTAAAAAGTTATTGCATTAAACTCTTCACTCCAAATTTTGGAGTATGAAGTAGCCATTTAAGTTTTTTCCTTTCAAAAATGGCTTCCCCTACAAAACACTTTTTCATTAATACTGTCAATAAGTTACTTATTTCATTTCAGCCATGGAATTTAAAATCAGCAGTTTTCCACCTCTTGATTGTTTTAAGATTTCTCCAACATTTTCTTCCATGCTTTCTACCTAAGAAACAAAAAACTTTTATCCAAAAAACATCTTATGTTTCAATTAGTCTGTTAATTTTGAAGATCAGCTTTTCAGAGCAGGACTACTGTTCTTGTCTCCTTCTTTAATATCCTTCATTACAGAAGTGAAGACCTAGAAGTTACACAGAATAAAAATTAATCCAAAAAGTCACCCAAATTAAAGAAATTTAAGTAAATATAATTTAGAAACATGAAAAAGCTTTCATATACTTAACTCTGTCCCCTAAAACACTGCCATTCTCCAATCTCCTTGTTTTATTAAACAATTAAGATTCCAGTGTTTATCAATAGCCAGATATTATTAAACTACTATTCAGTAACAGAACACTTTCTGGATCAATATTTCTGTATTTCATTTTCATAAGGAATAAAACTGTGAACTTATAACCCTAATTGTCAGTATCCATGGATTATGTCATAATATTTATGTCACTGAATTAGTATGTTAGTATGTCTGCTTCTCTAGAAAGACTAAGCCTTTAAAAAGTTAAGATCATATATCATATTCTTTCCATGCAAACTCTTAGTATGAGGCAGGTGTTTAATAAAAGTTTTCTCTATCTGAAATACCAAAATAATTAAATAAGTGCACTGGCAAATGAAATACTATTACAGGTTGTACTTCACTAAACTCAAAATATTACTGGACTTAACATAAAACTAAAGCCACAGGTTTGGTTAAGTGAGAGGGACAAACTGCTTTAAATTCTTATTTCTTTGACATCACAATTATTTTTAGAAGATGTATATTTTTAAATATAAGCATTGTCATTTGAGAAATAACTATTTTAACAAGAAGTCAACTGATTAACAAATCTATTATAGATAGGAAAATGTCACTCTACCTGAGTCCATTTTTTGGTGCTATTCTGCATCTGAATGGCTGCAATACAGCTGAACAGTTTTTCTGATGTGATATCTTCTGGCAATTTAGTGAGAAATTGTGCTATATGAATAAAGTCCATCTGCAGGAGAATATCTTCATATAATCGAAGGATTCCTAATCCAGTCCTAAATAAAAATTCCTCCCCATCTCTGCAAAATACGTCCCACACTCGACAGGCCAGATCAAGTGGTAAGGATTTGCTATACAGTGTAAAGATCCTAAAGTAAGGAGAGAAAATAATCACTGAAGTTTTTCATTTACTGTCTCATTCACTTATTAAAAATCTCTATGGAAAAAGAACAGTGCTTAATTAGGGATAAAAGGCAAATAAAATATGGCTTCTTTATTCAAACTTCAGTAGTAGGAAATTAGTAAATCATGAAATTGTGTTATTTTTTAAACTTGAAAAGTTAAGATATAATACAAGCAACAGTGGTAGAATAGTCTAATTTTTAAGGGTATGGGCTCTGAAACCAGAATGTCCGTGCTTTAATACTGAATTTGCCACTTATTAGTTGAATTACCTTAAGCAAGACATTTGTCCTCACTATGCCCCCATTTTCTTCATTAATAGATTAAGATTAAAGTACCATCCTCATAGGGTTGTTTTCAAAATTAAAGATGTTAATAAATATAATACTTTTTATAAAAATATAAAATAGTATCTGGTACATAAGAAATGTGTGATAAAAGTTATGATTATTGTATTAAGAACCCAAATATCAGATTCTAGTAACTTGTTCATGCAAGACTTTTTTCTCTTCCCCTTCCATAAGAATCAATTGTTTTTTATTTATTTTTCCCTCTTCAGCAGCTTTACTTGCTACTTCTTTTCCGATAAAATCACCAAAATGGTTTTTTCCATACTTTCTGACCATGTAATTCTTTATCCAGTTATGCCACAGGTGGCATTCTCGTTAGGGAAGTGGAGAGAATAGGTGCCACAGAAAACTCATCTTGAAGTTGTCATAGCAAAAAAAAAAAAGGACAAATTTTTTACTGATAGTTTCTTTGGGGCAGTACTGACAGAATTTTAGGGAAAGCACTAAAAGGCTTCCTTGCTTTAAAAAAGCGGGGGGGGGGGGGGGGCAGCACTGTGGCACAGTAGGTTAATCCTCTGCCTGCAGTGCTGGCATCCCATATGGGCGCTGGTTCTAGTCCCGGCTGCCCCTCTTCCAATCCAGCTCTCTGCTTTGGCCTGGGAAGGCAGTAGAAGATGGCCCAAGTCCTTGGGCCCCTGCACCCACGTGGGAGACCAGGAGGAGGCACCTGGCTCCTGGCTTCAGATTGGCACAGCTACGACCTTTGGGGCCATTTAGAGAGTAAACCAATGGGAAGACCTTTCTCTCTCTCTCTCTCCCTCTCACTGTCTGTAACTCTATCTCTCAAAAATAAATAAAATCTTTTTAAAAAAAATTCAGCATTGCCACTTAATTCATTCCTCGCTTGCAAAAATGATTCTGGAATTTATATGTAAAATAAGGTCAACAGAGACAGAAACACAACTCTACTTCCTGAATTATAAACACACATTTAATCATATAACAAAAAGAATACTTTTAGTAGTACAGAGAATACTAATTTCACTGCTAAAAATGAGAAAGGGAATATCTAGGCAGTTTCTAGTACACAGTATTCACTCATCATTAATTCCAGTCTGTTGCCTATAGCAACTGTGATTCTGATATGTCCCATGTTCATAATCCTTAAGACTACAATTGAGACTTTTTGTCTTTTGCTTCACAGAATTAGTATTTGATCCTGGTTCTCTAGGTCCCTTGATAAAAACCCTTCTCTGCATTATCCTTGGTCCTTCCCAGAGGAACTCTAATGTTCCTAGTGGGAATGGAAGGAGAATACACTGCAAAATAACACATTTTTAAAAAGCCCAAACAAGTAGGAAGGCATCATATTTGATCAGTGCTATTATTTATTTATTTTTCCATATTAAAGTCTAATATCATTTACACGAACCCCACTAGTTTTGCATGATTTGGACTTAAATTTTAATTTTTCCATATGTACTCTGTTTTTAAAGATTTATTTGAAAGTCAGAGCTACACAAAGAAAGAAGGAGAGTCGGAGACAGGTCTTGCATCCACTGGTTCACTCCCCAATTGGCCGCAACGGCAGCAGAGCTGTGCCAAAACGAAGCCAGGAGCCAGGAGCTCCTTCCAGGTCTCCCACATGGGTGCAAGGGCCCAAGGACTTGAGCCACCTTCTACAGCTTTCCCAGGCCACAGCAGAGAGCTGGATCAGAAGTGGAGCAGCTGGGACTCGAACTGGTGCCCATATGGAATGCCAGTGCTGCATATGGTGGCCTTACCCACCACGCCACAGTGCAGGCCATCATATGTACTCTTAACATCCCATCTTAACACTGTTACATCTCTGGCAAAAATTCACCCACCATTGTAAAATCAACTGGCTACTGATTGCCAGGAAAAATCTCCAAAGTAAAACAGAGTATCTAGAATTGGAGCATGGGAAAAAGATACTAGCACTTAAACAAGACATCATTACAATGTCAGAAAGCTGGATCCAAACCTTAGTAAAGCAACACTATCATAACAACCATTAAGTCCTTTTGTATTAAGAATAAAAAAGGATAGCATCTAACTGTTAGAACCATAGTTTATGCTAGGTACTAAATGAGATAATCCATGTAAAATATCCTCAATGCATCTCCAAATATAGATATTATTCCCATCTTATAGATAAGAAACTGAAACACAAACTGAGATTCTGATTTCAACCCAGAGTCCATGCTCTTAACCAAATGCATTCCTACAGAAATGTGAAAACCCTCTATTTGTAAGGGAAGGTTTGTACAATGCATGATACTATGCCTCAGATTTACTGTAGTTCTTAAAATATTTACAAAGTTAAATTTTACTTCCTTTTCATTATTTATAACTTACCAGTCTATCAAGTATATGTCTGGTGTAAGACTGTAAGACTTAAAATGAAGAAATAGTTTGGAGAGATTTTCTTCAAAAAATACTTCAAATGTTGCAAAATATTTCAACATCTACATACAGAAAAAAATCAAATATCAAAGAGTATACTCTAGAAATAGAGAAATTAAATTTTTAAACATTAACAGAAAAAGCTTACTTATTAGTCTTCTCATCAAGCAATTACAAAACCACAACTCAACATAAAATTTATTTTAGATCAAAATTATCTTAAGTCTTCAATTATTGTTTTTTTCATTCTAAGAGAACACTGAGACTAAAGAAACAGAGAAAGAAAAACACAATCCATTCCAAATGCTCATACCATGCTGTGATCCACACGAAAAAAGGCCAACTGGCATGGCTTATTCAGAAGATTAGCAAACGCAATGAAGGCATCCGCTTCTTCCAGATTGAGAATGAGTACTGCTGCAATGAAGGACATCCCTTGGACCTTCAAATGGGAAATAAATCAATCAAATGGATTTACAATTATAATTCTATAAAGAAATCAATCAAAATGGATTTATAATTATAATTCTAAACAGTTTATTTTATTGTACTTCTGAAAAACTACAAATGACATTACAAAGTAGAATTAACCAAAATTTCTTTTTTCTTCTCAGCAAATGTAAATATAGAGAACAACTAATACTTATGAAACCTCCCTTATTTTTACATTTCTTGTTTATATGGTGTGAGTTAAAGTATTAGGGAAAATTTTGGACAAAAGAAAAAAATCAGTTTTTACTTGCTCTAAGTCTAGCTCAGTGTACTACTTGGTTTTCATTTCTTCTGTGAATTCTTTCAAAATAACAAATTTTAATGAAAATCAGGTGATTATAGCATAATCTGTTCAAGTAAAAATAAGACGTCTTCTGGATGTGCTATTGAAATTCCAAGAAAGAAAGGGCACAGGGGTTGAGATAGTGAGCCTGGATTCCTAGAAAAGCAGGATAAAGAAATAGGGTAAACCATTCAAAGGTGGAAAAGCAGCAGGTGCAAAGACAAAAACAGGACCAAGCCAGTTGGAGCACAAGTTTTATAATGGGAATAACAGACATTTGGAAAAAGTAAGATATATTCATACTGTAAAAGGCCTCTAGTAAAAAGCTAATCCATGTTATATCTGTCAGTTCTCAGTAGCTACTGTACATTTCTTTTATGAAAAAGTATCAAAGGGCTGGCGCCATGGCACAGTAGGTTAATCCTCCGTCTGCACCACCGGCTGCCCTTCTTCCAATCCAGCTCTCTGCTGTGGCCTGGGAAAGCAGTAGAAGATGGCTCAAGTCCTTGGGCCCCTGCACCCACATGGGAAACCAGGAAGAAGCACCTAGCTCCTGGCTTCAGATCGGTGTAGCTCCAGCCATTGTGGCCATTTGGGGAGTGAACCAACAGAAGGAAGACCTTTCTGTCTCTCCCTCTCACTGTCTGTAACAAGGAGAGGGGAGGAGAGGGGAGGAAGGGGGAGGGGAAGGGAGGGCAGGGGACGATACGAAAAGAGAAAGAAAGAGTATCAAGCATTTACTTCTGGCAGAGAATTCTATTAATGGACTTGGGCAGGGAGACCACAAGGAATAACTATAATGATACCTCCATTTTTTCTTCCCAACCCTTTGAAAAAGCTGCCTATACTTGGAAAATCAGTAGAGGATGGCCCTCCACCAGTGTGACTCCTGGCTCCTGGTTCCTGGCTTCAGATTGGCGCAGCTTTGTGGCCATCTGGGAGTGAACCCGTGGATGGAAGACCTCCCTCTTCTCTCTTTCTCTCTCTTTTGCTGACTCTGCCTCTCTATAACTCTGCCATTCAAATAAATAAATAAATCATAAAAAAAATAGCTGCCTATAATCCCTATCTACTTTCTCAGCTTCTTATTTACTTTTAAACACATGTCAACATAGACTCCCACTTCATTACTATACTACCTGGATACTTTCTCTTGCCAATATAACTAATGACATGCATTGTAAAATCTCACAGGTACTTTCCTACCCTTGCAGCAGCATTCCTTTAGCTTCTTTTTATTTATTTATTTATTTGAGAGAGAGAGTTAGACAGTGAGAGAGAGAGACAGAGAGAAAGGTCTTCCTTCCGTTGGTTCAACTCACAAATGGCCGCTATGGCCCCAGCTACACCAATCCAAAGCCAGAAGCCAGGTGCTTCCTCCTGGTCTCCCATGCAGGTGTAGGGCCCAAGCACTTGGGCCATCCTCCACTGCCTTTCCGGGCCACAGCAGAGAGCTGGACTGGAAGAGGAGAAACCAGGACTAGAACCCGGCACCCATATGGGATGTCGGCACTGCAGGCGGAGGATTAACCAAGTGAGCCACGGCGCCGGCCCCCATTTAGCTTCTATGATTCAGTATGTCTTTGTTCTCCTCCGCTTCCTCTAGCTTCTTATGAGTGTTCTTTGCCAATTGAGGACAGAGACCAGAATGATTGCCCTCCAAAGATACCCAAGACCTAATCCCCAGAATCTAAAAATGTTATAACACAGGCCAAAAGGGACTTTGAAGATATGATATAGTAAGCATCTTAGGGTGGGAAGATAATCCTGGAAAATCAGAGTGGGCCCAAAGTAATCACCATGAGGGCACTTACATGTGAAAGAGGGAAGCAGAAGAGTCAGAAAGCAAGCTAAAGAACACTACACTGCTGGCTTTGAAGATAGAGGTAGGAGGCCATGAACCTAGGCAGTTTCTAGACAAGAAAATGAATACTCCCCTGGAGCCTCCAGAGGAAACACAGGCCTGACAATACCTTGAATTGTATCCAATTAAATGTGTTTCACACTTATGACTTCATGAACTTTCAAATAATAAATGTATGTTGCTTAAAGTCACTAAGTTGTGGTCAGCATTGTGGCAACACAGGTTAAACTGCCTCCTGCAATGCCAACATCCCATATGAGCATTTGTTCCGAGTCCCAGCTGCTCCATTTCAATCCAGTTCCCTGCTAATATTAGCCTGAGAATGCAAGGGAAGATGGCCCAAGTACTTGGGCCCTTGCCATGTGGGAGACCAGGATGGAGTTCCAGCCTCCTGCATTTGCGCTGGCTCAGCCCCAGTCATTGCAGCCATTAGGGGAGTGAGCCCCTCTCTCTCTCTCTCTCGCTCTCGCTCTAACTCTGCCTCTCAAATACATAAAATAAATCTTTAAATAAAAAATAAAGCCACTAAGTTTGCAGTAATCTGTTACAGTGACAACAGGAAACTAATACAGAGAACTGACTCCAATCATGACTGTGCTCTTAGTATGACAACATTTGCTGAACAGATAAAAGGGACATAAGGCTAATCATCTATAATATAATGATAGCAAAGTAAACAGAAGGGATTAAAATATGTTTAATTGGATCTACAATGCCATTTATTAGAAGTTACATTATTTTATATGCCGTTAAAAAAGAAAAAAAATGCTGCCGATTAAGCAATTATACATGCTTTTATTTGAAAGGCAGAGTTACGGGGGAGGGGGGGCGGGGAGGGAATCTTCCATCTACTGGTTCACTCCCTAAATGGCCACAGTGGCTGGAGCTAGGCCAATCTGAAGCCAGGAGCCAGGAGCTTCCTCTGGATCTCCCGCATGGGTAGCAGAGGCCCCAGTACTTGGGCTCCAAATTCCACAGCTTTTCTTAGGACATCAGCAGACAGCTGGATCAGAAGTGGAGCAACCAGGACATGAACCGCTGCTCATAAGGGATGCCAGCGGCAACCAGGACATGAACCGCTGCTCATAAGGGATGCCAGCGTCACCGGGCTAGCTAGGCTGCAGTGCAGGTCCCAGAACTATCTTTTTAATATTACAACCTACCCCACCCCAAACCTGGCAGTTCTCCCCTTTGCCATGCCACACTTTTTCCATATCACTTATCATCTATTAGTATAACATGATTTATTTGTTTGTTGTTTATTATATGTTTTCTCCTCCTAAACTCTAAGCATACAAACATACAAATGAACATAAAACAGAACAAAGTTAACTTGTATTACATGGCCACCTTATAAGTGAGGTGTCTAATATTCTTCTATTTTTAACAGATGAGAAGATGAAAGTTTTATGACTTTTAGTTAAACATGGCAATTGAACATTCATTCCTTTGTTCCCTCCCAAAATCCAACTAAAATGACAACAAAGAAATAGAAGTATTAACTTAAATAGACAAAGAGAATGGAAAAGGATATGAACAGTGGATAAGAGCTGTCAACAGCATTTTAGAAATTTTAATATAAATAAGTGGAAAATGTTAAAACTAAAATACCTAAAGGGAAGAAAGCCAATAATCAACAAGCCAAATCAGCCACAAAACCATGGAAGAGTGAGGAATTGAAGTTACAAAGTACCTCCAAAATTGAGGAATAGCCTAAAAATAGGTTCAAAGGCTGTGAGTGGAGCAAATCTCCTCCCCTATCCCTTTTTTTTTTTTTTTTTTTTTGGTGGTGGTGGTGGGGGAAGACAGGCAGAGTTAGACAGTGAGAGAGAGAGAGAGACAGAGAGAAAGGTCTTCCTTCCATAGGTTCACCCCCCAAATGGCCGTCACAGCCGGCGCTGCGCTGATCCAAAGCCAGGAGCCAGGTGCCTCCTTCTGGTCTCCCATGCAGGGGTAGGGCCCAAGCACTTGGGCCATCCTCCACTGCCTTCCTGGGCCACAGCAGAGAGCTGCACCGGAAGTGCAGAGCAGCCAGGACAGACTCCGGCACCCCAACCAGGACTAGAACCAGGGTGCCGGTGCCGCAGGCGGAGGATTAGCCAAGTGAGCCACAGTGCCAGCCCTCCCCTATCCCTTATAGATAGGTACCTGTTCTTGCATTAGCCTGGCAAAACATAAGAAGTTTATTTCCTAGAGGTAAAATCAGTGAAAAGAGGGATAGGAAAAGGGGCTAAGGCCTCATTCTGACAGCAGGAGTATTAAAGTTCACAAACTGAATGGTGAAATCCGTATAGCTCTCCTAAGAAGCTCGTAGAGGGTCATATAATCTCCTGGCAAGATATGGAAAAATTCCTCTCCATGTAAATTGATAAGCCCAAAGAAAACAGACATAGTGATACAGACATTTGAGAGCTAATACATCATATTTTGCTAAGAGTTTAGATAATATTTTTCTATTAAAAAAATTGAAACAAATACTTACATAACCAACATCAGGTCTGTAACATGTATATGCCCCTAAGATACTATGTAAAACATCATGATATGGGCCACCCTTAGGAGAGAAAATTGAAAATATAAAAATAATTGTCTCATAGTTAATTCTTACATAACATGTTAATAAACTAACATTTAGTGTATTGAACAACTGTCAAAACATTCTAAATTCACTATAAAGATGTTTTTTAAATTATTAAAAATAATCCTAAATAACAAAAAAGATGGACTTGATAGATACAAACTATATAGTTTATAAACAATATTTTAAAGACTTCAGATTTATTACAATAAGAGTCTGATAACTACAGATTGTTTAATTTTAACTAATTCAGAAAAAACTATCAAACTACACTAAATTAAGTTACAGCAAAATTTCAATATTAATGTAAAAAGTTTTACCTCATTTTTATCAATCTAAGGACAGAGGAATTCCATGTGTATAAAGACTTGAGTAAAAAATAAAATATAATAAATAAATAAATAAATAAATAAATAAAATAAAATGTAGTTATTTCTCAGGTCATAAAGACAAGCAACTTCCTAATAACCTTTACTCAAAAAAGTAAACTATTCCTATTTCAATAGTAATAGTGAAAATTTTAAGTGTTGGAGCAAAGTTCTTTATATTTTATCAATCTACCAAGTAAAAATATTAAGAAATTAAGTATCTTACAGAATAAAAAGCAAAAGAGAAATTCACCGAAATAAAAATGTATCAAGTACCTATTACACAAAATATATGAATATATGATGTCATGCTGACTCTAATATGTTTCAGTCAGTGGAATAAAATAATAAAAATTACTTTAAAATTTTCTTACTAGTTTTATACTTTTATGTAAAAGCCCAAAGTTTTATACTTTTGCCTTTTAAAAATAACAGTTATGCCTTCAGAGAAATACTGATGTTGATATAGAAGGATAAAAAAATGTAGTTATAAGCTGATTAGAAAACCTCACCTTCTGAAAGATGTAGAGAGATGGAAATGTACGGGATATATCCAACTTAATTAATTCCAGACTGGCCTCTCGATCAGCAATAGATACACCTGCATTTACCAAGTACATTAAATGTAAATGATCACTTGGCAGTTACAAGTTCAATTTTGTAAGCACAGAATAATTACATAGTAAATGTGTTATTTAAGGAAATTTAAAAGCTGAGTAATTAAGTTTCAAGAAATGCCACAAAGCTTTTGCTAGTATTTAGTCTCATAAAAGAAAATATTGGAGCTGGCGCTGTTGCATAGCAGGTAAAGCCGCCACCTGCAGTGCCAGCACAGATGTCAGTTCGAGTCCCAGCTGCTCCACTTCCGATCCAGCTCTCTGCTATGGTCTGGGACAGCAGTAGAAGATGGCCCAAGTCCTTTTGGCCTTCTGGCTCAAGACTGTTGGGACACTGTAAAATGCTCTACCATACATATAATTGGAGTACCAGAATGACAGTGAGATGGGGCAGAAATAATAATTGGAAAGATAACGGCCAAAAGTTAAATGATTAATGCAAATTATAAATGGCCAGCAAATAACCATAACTTAAATCCCATACTAATACTGACTAGAATAACTTGTCATTACATTCCATAAATCTCTACTCTCACCATATATTTACAATGAAATGTCTCAGAAATTAATGCTTGTAACTTTTAAAGATTTATTTATTTATTTGAAAGGTCAAATTACAGAGAGGGGGAGATACAGAGAGAGAAAGAGAAATCTTCATCCAATGGTTCACTTCTAAAATGGTCCCCACACATGCTCAAGCTGACTTGCCCCAAATGGTAGAGTTAGAAACATACCAGGGGAATCCAATTCAATCCCATCAAGGTGGCATGTACCAATGCCATCTCACTAGTCCAAGTGATCAATTTCAGTTCACAATTGATCATAATGAAAGGACTAAGAGTCAAAGGGATCACATAAACAAGTCTAGTGCCTGCTAATACTAACTGATAGAATAAATAAAGGGGAGAGCGATCCAACATGGGAAGCGAGATACACAGCAGACTCATAGAATGGCAGATGTCCTACACAGCACTCTGGCCTCAGAATCAGCCCAAAGGCATTCGGATCCGACTGAAAAGCCCATGAGAGTATTTCAGGCATGGAAAGCCAAGACACTCTGGCAAAAAAAAAAAAAACACACAAAACCACAAAACCTAAATGAAAGAAAAAACCCTAAATGAAAGATCTCTGTGAGTGAGATCCCAGTGGAAAAAACAGGTCTTCAAAGAAGGAGGTCCCTTTCTCTGAAGGGAGGAGAGAACTTCCACTTTGACTATGACCTTGACCTTGTCTAAATAAGATAAGAGTCGGTGAACTCAAAAGGCTTCCATAGCCTTGGACACTCGTGACTGGAGCATAGGGAGATTACTGATGCCATAAACAGGAGTATCAATTTGTAAAGTCAACAACAGGAGTCACTGTGCACTTACTCCTCATGTAGGATCTCTGTCCTTAATGTGCTGTACTTCACTTTGTGTTTCTATGTGGGTGCAAACTGTTGAAATCTCTACTTAATGTATACTAAACTGATCTTCGGTATATAAAGAAAATTGAAAATGAATCTTGATAAGAATGGAAGGGGAGAGAGAGCGGGAAAGGGGAGGGTTGCAGGTGGGAGGGAAGTCATGGGCGGGGGGGAGCCAATGTAATCCATAAGCTGTACTTTGGAAATCTATATTCATTAAATAAAAGTTAAAAAAAAAAATTTCACAAAGACCTATCGGGTTTCTGAGCTGGCAGTACATTGTCAACGGCAGAGGTGCTAGCTTGCTGTTGAAATTAGGGCAAGCCTTGCTGTGTTTGATCTTCTGTATATAAAGACAATTGAAAACGAATCTTGATGTGAATGGAATGGGAAAGGGAGTGGGAGATGGGAGGGGTGCGAGTGTGAGGGAAGTTACTGGGGGGGGGGGAGCCATTGTAATCCATAAACTGTACTTTGGAAATTTATATTTACTAAATAAAAGTTAAAAAAAAGAAATTAAAAAATAAAAATAAAATGGTCCCAACAGCCAGGCTGGGCCAAGCGGAAGTCAGGAACCAGGAGCTTCAGCTGGGTCTCCCATGTGGGTGGAGGGGCACAAGCACCTGGGCCATCTTTGCTGCCCTCCCAGGCACATTAGCAAGGAGCTGGATCAGAAGTGGAGTAGCTCATTTTTAGAGTTTTATTTAAATGTAAGAGAAGAGGGTTTGCTTTCTATGAAGTAGAACAAATATAAAAAAGAGAACTGACTAGAAGAAACATTGCTACTCATTACTCATGGAAATAAATGGCTGAGTAAATTTATGTAAATTTAATAAAATATAATGAAAAAAGTGTTCCTGTTTTCTCCAAAATTATTGGGGGAAAAAACTGAAGAGGGTGGAGGGAAAGTGAAAAAACAATTAAGAGAGAGTACATTACAGTCAGTAGACGGGAAGGGACAAGAGGTCACAAACAAGGCGTGAAGGATATCGATCTTTAAAAGCTTGGCCTAAAAATACTTCATCCTGCCAGCCACACTGCTATGACTTAAATCCTGGGCTCTGGAGTCCAAGAAATCTGGATCTAAATCCCAGCTTCCCAGTTTATAGGCTATTTAACTATCATAAGCCTCAATTTCTTCTCACATAACTCACCCACTAAAAAGGCTATTAAGATTAAATGAGATAATGTATGTAAAGCAATCACTACAGTTCTCAACACACAGTAAATATCACATTGTGTCTTCAGTGGCTGAATTTTCATCCTGAAATACCTATTAAAAAAAAAAAAGCACACCTTCCATATCATTCTCTGAGCTTGTTTCACTGAAGCTTTTCCATCGTTCTTTTGCTCTTGAGAGGAAGATTTCATAAAGTTCTGAGATAAAAGACAAAAAAATTCATAAATAATAAGAAAGAAATATATTCACATTTTTATTTTTATTGTTTATCTATTAAACATTGAGTCTCCCTGATGTAGCAGGTATCAAAAACGTGACAAACTGATTCTACCAAAAGCAGTCATTCATTATGCAATCAGAAAGCAACAATACAGCTGAGTAATCATTTAAGTAGCTATACTACAGAGCAGATGTAAGAGGCAATCAGAGATGTTTCTGCTACAGGACTATAATTGTGAGATAGCAGATAGAACTTCTGGAGTAAATCAGACTTATGTTCACATTCCAGCTCTATCAATTACTATCTATGGCACTTCAAGAAAGTTACTTAACCACTCTCAAGTTTGGCTTCCTTCATCTGCAAACTTGAGAAAAATAGTATCTATTCACAGGGTTACTGATAGGGTCAAATAACATAATTTAAGTAAAGCCTCTGGCACCATTTAGACCCCTCAATAAATGCTAGTTCTCATTATCTTCTAAAACTGGTTTCTTCATTATGATACTATACTATATAAAGCTACCTATCTTTCATACAGATTTGGTCTAAGGGACTACATGTAAAAATCTCTAACCAAACCTTTTTACTTTAAGTGCTCTGTCACGACACATCCACAATCTCACAAAAACTTCAGGAATAGAAAAAACTGAAAATTTTTTCTCAATTTGAAAATTTTAATTGTTTTTAATTTCTTTATAGTTATAGACAGTGAGAGAGAGAGACAGAGAGAAAGGTCTTCCCTCTGTTGGTTCACCCCACAAATGGCCGCCATGACCAGTGCTGCGCCCATCCGAAGCCAGGAGCCAGGTGCTTCCTTGTGGTTTCCCATGCGGGTGCAGGGGCCCAAGTACTTGGGCCATCCTCCACTGCCCTCCCAGACCACAGGGACTAGAACCTGGAGCCCATATGGGATGCCAGCGCCACAGGCAGAGGATTAACCAAGTGAACCACGGCACCAGCCCCAACTGTTTTTAATTTCTAAGTAACGATTAAAGATATTAGAAACTACATAAAATAGCAAATTTCAGTGACAGAAGAACAACAAAAAAAATTTCTTGCCCAAACACCAACATTTATATATTGTCCAGAATACTAATAACATTTTTTTGTTTTAAAGGATTCTTTTTTTAATTTATTTTTGGGGTGGACATTTGACCTAGTGGTTAAGATGTGTGTATCGCACATCAGAGTATCTGAGTTCAAGTCCTAGATCTGGCTCCTGATCCCATCATCTAGCTAATGCAGACCCTGGAGGGTAGAAATGATAGCTCAAATGGTTGGGTCCCTGCCACCCAAATGGGAGATTTGGATTAAGTTCCCAGCTCCCAGCTTCAACATGGCACAGCCCCAGCCATTACCAGCATTTGGGGAATGAATCACCAAATGGAAGCTGTTTCTCTCTCGCTCTCAAATAAATATATATATTTTAAACTTTATGACATGGCTTTTAAAAATACAAACAGTAGGGGCTGGAACTGTGGCATAGAGGGTAAAGCCGCCACCAGCAGTGCCAGCATCCCATATGGGTGCCCGTTTGGGTCCCTGCTGCTCCACTTCTAATCCAGCTCTCTGCTGTGGCCTTGGAAAGCAGTGGAAGACAGCCCAAGTGCTTGGGCCCCTGCACCCATGTGGGAGACCCAGAAGAAGCTCTTGGCTCCTGGCTTCGGTTTGGCACAGCTCTAGCCGTTGCGGCCAACTGGGAAGTAAAGCAGCAGATGGAAGACCTCTCTCTCTCTCTCTCTGCCTCTCCTTCTCTCTATGTAACTCTGACTTTCAAATAAATAAACAAATCTTAAAAAAATATAAACAATACAAAATAAAATGGAGTGAAAACAAATTTTCTTCCTTGGATGCAACCATGGTTACTAGACTTCTCATGAACTCTACCAAAGATAAAAATATGCAAGCACAGTTAAATATATATTTATTCTTTCTACAAAACAAAATGGCAATATATTATATGTATTGATTTTTATCTCATTTTGTTATATTGGAGGTTGTTCCTCATTAGTAGATTCAGATGCACTTTCAGGTTTTTTTAATTTTTATTTCTACCTTTATTAATATTTATTTATTTATGTGGAAGGCAAAGTTCAAAAAGGCAGGGGAGTTGGCAAGGGGAGGGACACCTACCATCTACTGATACACTCCCTAAATGGCTGCAATGGCCAGAGCTGGGCCAGGCCGAAGTCAGAAGCATGGAAGTCCATTCAGGTCTCCCACATGGGTGCCAGGGGCCCAAATACTTGGGTATTCTTCCATTGCTTTCCCAGGAGCATTAGCAGGGCGTTGTATCGTAAGTGGACCATCAAGGACTTGAACTGGTACTCATATGGGATGCTGGCATCATAGGCAGTGGCTTAAAACCACTGTACCAGAATGCTAGCCCCTCAGGCTGTTTTTCAAACAACTTCATAGTATTCCAAGCATAACTGTACCATAACAAGTATTCCTGTACTTCCAGGAATCAGACCATTATGAAGTAGCTAACTAGATAAATTTCAGATTCTCACTATTCTAATCTCTATTCCCTTCTATTCACTTTTCATTACTACTAATGGCAGTGAAAGAAATTTGAAAAGAAAAAAAATCAAACAAAAATCTTGTGAATATTTGGAAGAAGTCAATACAATTTTTAAATTTCTATAATTATTTGGGAGTTATAAGGTATCAAACTTGTAAGACCACACTTTTTTTCATTACTTAAAACTGGTTCTAAGCCAGGTTATTATTATTTTACTCAAATACTTTAATTGCCTTGGAAGAAAAAAGGCTCACTAGACAAATCCATCCCTTTTGGGAGCCAAAAAATTGATCCCATAATCAAAATGTGTAATGCATTTCAAAACATCACCTTTCTCCAAGGAAGATTTACAAGTGCTTATCTCTAATAAGGAGACCTACAACTCAGTTCAATTCCACACTTATTTTATTGTGAATCTACAAAGGGTGAACTTGAAGCAGACTTAAAGATGGTACATTTGGTCTAGAATAGAGAATAATTCCAATGTATGTTTCACTTTCCTATTTTGTGACAGAGACTTTATCTCATATATATTCTCAGTAGAGTGCACAATTTCATTATAACTTTGTATTCATTAGCACAAAAAACTGTTAACATACCCTTTAAAATAGCTAATAATCATAGCCCCATCTTACAGTTGAAGAAAACTAAGAATTCTAGATGTTAAGTAATTTGCCCAAGGTCACAAATCTATATATCTATATATATAGGAACCAAGATTTGCACATTTGACTGATTTTAAAGTCTTTACTGCTATTTACTATTCTCTAGTGATTAAAAATTTCACGATTTAAACAAATATAACAAGAGTCAAATTACTAGAGCCATTCAGAAGTAAATAAGGTTATCAAAAATAAATATATCTTGGCCAGCGCTGCAGCTCACTTGGCTAATCCTCCGCCTGTGGCGCCAGCACTCCAGGTTCTAGTCCCAGTTGGGGCGCTGGGGTCTGTCCCGGTTGCTCCTCTTCCAGTCCAGCTCTCTGCTGTGGCCCGGAAAGGCAGTGGAGGATGGCCCAAGTGCTTGGGCCCTACACCTGCATGGGAGACCAGGAGGAAGCACCTGGCTCCTGGCTTTGGATCAGTGCAGTGCCGGCCGTGGCGGCCATTTTGGGGGTGAACCTATGGAAGGAAGACCTTTCTCTCTGTCTCTCTCTCTCTCACTGTCTAACTCTGCCTGTCAAAAAGAAAAAGAAAAAATATATTTCAATCAAAATTTAGAATCTTCCTACCACTAATGAAAATAAGACAATTAGTACCCATTTCATTTCTGAATACCTAAATGTTAGCAGAGGAAATCTAAAACTACTCTAAATAAATGATACAGCCATATTTTTTAAAAATTAGAAATTTAAAGCTTTTGATTATAGTGTTACTATAACACCCATTTAATAAATATTTTAACATCAATATACCTCATTTTTTAAAGATTCGTTTATTTATTGAAAATCAGAGTGTGTATGTGTGAGTGTGTGTGTATGTGAGAGAGAGAGAGAGAGAGAGAAAGAGAGAGAGAGAATATCTTCCACCTGCTGGCTCACTCCCCAGATGGCCAGCTGAAACCAGGAGTCATCTGGGTCTCCTACATAGGTGGAAGGGGCCCAAGCACTTGGGCCATGTTCTACTGCTTTCCCAGGCCAGTAGCACAGAGCTGGATCAGAAGTGGAGCAGAGGGAACTCGAACAGACACCCATATGGGATGCCAGCATCACAGGCAGTGGCTTAACCCATTGCACTACAATGCCAACCCCTAAACCAAAATTTGTAATGCTTCCTTTAAATTCTAAGTCTTAAAGTTGTTTTTTCCTTAATGTTCTTTTAAAATAACATGTTCATCCATTAAGGGATACTAATGAAAATCAATTTTTAAAACCTTAATTATGATATCTAAAGTTGGCATCAGTATTAAGATTATAATTATTTAGATTTTTGTTGTAATTCTGTCCAGTTATTTATAATGCCAACTACTGCAATGAACATCTTTGTTAAACAGTTTCTGGGGGCTGGTGTTGTGGTATAGCAGGTAAAGCTGCTGCCTGTGACACCAGCATCCCATATGAGTACCAGTTCAAGTCCCAGCTGTTCTACTTCAACCCAGGTCCCTGCTAATACTATTTGGAGAGCAGGAAAGAATGGTCCAACTGCTTGGGCCCCTGCACCACATGGGACACCTGGATGAAGCTCTTGGCTCCTGGTTTCAGACTGACCCAGGCCTAGCTGTTGCAGCCATTTGGGGAGTAAACCAGCAGATGGAAGACCTCTCTCTGTCTCTCTCCTTCTCTCTCTGTAACTTTGCATTTCAAATAAATAAAATAAATCATATATATATAAAAATAGTTTCTGCAAACAATCCCAATCACTCCCATAAGCTGGAATAAGTAAATTAAAGTCTATTTTTTAGACTTTGGATAGATAATTCTCAATTATCTTTAATTATAACCCGTATGGGTAATTCTCAATCATTTTAACCTCTTCTAATCTGAAGGAATAAAAGACAATATATTTTGATGTTGTTTTAACATATGTATCTTTGATTTGGCTATCACAAAGGAAACGAGTAACTAATTGACAGTACAAACAGTGGAATGAAGTAGACTTGGATATACTGAGATAGCAGGATGTTCAAGATAGATTATTGTGTAAAAAAAGCAAGCCATAGAATAACCTTAAAGCATAAACTAATTTTTTGTGAAAAATGAATGAAAGAAAAATAAAAACCTTAAAAATTATCATACATAGATATATAAGTTTTTATGCACATAGAAAAAAGATCACATACCAATTTGTTAACAGTGCTTATAGTAGCAACAAGAACAGGAGTGTGTATGTAAAAGACATAAAGTTTTCACATTATTACTGCTTAAAGTTTTTTTTTATAACTATGAAATTAAAAAAATTTTAAGTAATAGCAACAGTATATTGTTTCAGTTATACTAGAGATACTATGTCTTTCTTTGGTATGATAGACTGTCTAACATTACCATTGAAACAAATTTACCATGTTTTAAAGTTAATTATTTCATTTTCTGCTGTTTGATGTTATCCCAATTTTATCTAAACTTTCTTTTTAATTCATCAGAACTACTCTATACTTTACTTCTCTCTGTCAAGGTTTTAAGAAACAAGACAATAAGACAACTCTTTGAAAGTGTTCTAACTTATTTTTCTGTTTTTAAAATTAAAAATAGAATTTTAAAATCTAAAAAACTGGTTTGGAGAGAAGTAAGAAATGTCTAGTCTTCCCTGAATATTTATGTTTATGTGAATAAAGGAGAAGTATTTACTTATTCATCCACTGTCATACAGAATCAAAGTTTCTGAAAGTAGCTATACTTTTTTTTTCTTTTTTTTTATTATTATTTTTTTTGACAGGCAGAGTGGACAGTGAGAGAGAGAGACAGAGAGAAAGGTCTTCCTTTGCCGTTGGTTCACCCTCCAATGGCCGCTGTGGTCGGTGCGCTGTGGCCAGCGCACCGCGCTGATCCAATGGCAGGAGCCAGGTGCTTCTCCTGGTCTCCCATGGGGTGCAGGGCCCAAGGACTTGGGCCATCCTCCACTGCCTTTCCGGGCCACAGCAGAGAGCTGGCCTAGAAGAGGGGCAACCGGGACAGAATCCGGCGCCCCGACCGGGACTAGAATCCGGTGTGCCAGGGCCGCTAGGTGGAGGATTAGCCTAGTGAGCCGCGGCACCGGCCGAAAGTAGCTATACTTTTGATATCTGAATGTCAAGAATCCTATTAATAGTTATAAAGTAAAGGAAAAACCACAAATTTATTTATATAATATGAAATATAGTAAGTTATTAATTCATATGAGGTTTGGGGGAGAGGAAGCATGCTCTTAAAATGACATTATATATGGTAATGCCTTTTTAAACTGGCCACTCTACTAATCTGCCTTGTAAATTGCAGATGACTGTTTGGATGTGTGGGAATAACTGAACATAGAATACAAACCAGGAGTGATATTTAGTTCATTTCCTACAGCTAGACTCCAAACCTTCCCACGAACACTAGGGGGCAACCCCTGCCACCACAATTCTCGAACTCTTCTTGTACTACGCCTAGAATTAAAGGAGGAGAAAAAAGGAGAATGTTACTTTTTATACCAAAAAATACTAGTTGCATGATGGCTTACCTACTCTATGGCCAAGTGATCAGATGATTTTTAAGAATTTAGAAAGTTGAGTATAGTATACATTCTTTCCTTAAAGCTCATCCTTGTAGGCAACAAAAATTTACAAAATTTACAGTACTTCAAAGACAGATAATAGTAATTTAGAGGCAACTGTTTTTGATAGATGCTATTTATACCAAGGATACAATAAGAGAATCAGAAATACATAGAAAATTATAAAAAAAAAATAAAAATGTTAAAAATGCACTAACTTAGTACTCAAAACAAAATCCCCAAGAATCTACTACTGCTAGGATATAGTTTTTCAGAGGTAGAAGAGTCTGCTGAAAGTGTGAGTTTTAGAGTCAGACAGATCCAAATTCAAATTTAGTTCGACTATTCACTAGTTGTATAACCTTGGGCAAACCACTTAACCTTTCTGACTCTGAGCTTCCCTATTTCATAAAGCATAGTAAAAATACATACGTCATAAAAGTTATAAAAATCAAATGCAATCACTCATGGGAAGAACCTAATATAATATAGTAGTTTCCTGTTTTCCATGGAAAGTATGTTTCAAGAACCTTGGGGGATGGCTGATACTAGCTAGATAGCACCAACTCCCATATGTCTTTCCCTATACATACCTTCCTATGATAAAATTTAACTTATAAATTAGGCACAGTATGAGATTAACAACAATAACTAATAAACAAATAAAATAATTACAACAATGTAGTGTAATAAAAGGTAAATGTGGTTTCTCAAATCATCTTGTACTTTGACCTTTTCACTTAAAGGAAGCACTTCATGGCTTCTCTTCATCATATCCATATTTTTACCATCCTACTCATGTGGTTTAGTGTTATTACTAAGTAAAACAAGGATCACATGAACACAAGAACTGTGCTACCACAGTCGTCAATCAAATAACAAACCCAGCTATTAAGTGACTAAAGAGTAGACAGCATATTCAGCATGGATACACTGGACAAACAGATGATTCATGTCTAAGATAGAGCAGGATGGCACAAAATTTCATCACACTTCTCAGAAGAGAGCACAACTTAAAACTTTTGAATTGCATATGGAATTTTCGACTTAAATATTTCTGGACTTAGGTTGACTATGAGTGGGTAACTGAAACTGATGAAACTTAAATCATGGATAAGGGGGAACTACTATATCTGTCACACTGTACCAATATTTAACATACTCTCAATGTACATTCCACACTAGGCATTACAGATGATATCCCACATGCTCCAGTAGAGAAGAAAGATAAGACATACACAAGACTATTATCTAAAACTAAAAAATCTAAGAAAAACATTTTTAAAATAAATTTTTAACACATAAAAATGAATCCTACAAATGTACATATTTAATGTTTTCTTTCCCAAAAACCTGCTATTACATGAATAGTGAATGTTACAATTAGAGGCATATTAGAATGAAGAAATTGTAGTAACTAAGAAGATTAAAGTTTCATGAAGCAACTGGCATTCAGATGGGTATAAAAGGTAAGATTTTCACAGGTATAGAGGATAGTTAAGAAGAGAAGGTATTGGCCGGTGCTGCGGCTCACGAGGCTAATCCTCCGCCTTGTGGCACCGGCATACCGGGTTCTAGTCCCGGTCGGGGCGCTGGATTCTGTCCCAGTTGCCCCTCTTCCAGGCCAGCTCTCTGCTGTGGCCAGGGAGTGCAGTGGAGGATGACCCAAGTGCTTGGGTCCTGCACCCCATGGGAGACCAGGATAAGTACCTGGCTCCTGCCATTGGATCAGCGCGGTGCGCTGGCCGCAGCATGCCGACAGCAGCGGCCATTGGAGGGTGAACCAATGGCAAAGGAAGACCTTTCTCTCTGTCTCTCTCTCTCACTGTCCACTCTGTCTGTCAAAAAAATAAAAAAATAAATAAAATAATAAATAAATAAAGAAGAGAAGGTATTGGAGACTGCGTGATTAATAAAAGCAAAAGCATAAACATGGAGATTTTCACATATCGGTTAATAATATAACTAAGCCAAAGCATAAGATACAAGCCGGAAAGTAATAAAAATACAGAACTGGAAAGACGACATCTTCAGAGACAAACTGCAATTCAGGAAAAGTATGCTTACTTACATTACTTCCCAATTGGGCAGGATTTCATTGATCCAAATCACCATTGCACTTGCAATATTTTCTTCCTGTTTAAAGCGTTCTTTCATTATTCTTTTTCTTTTATGTGCTTCCTTAATTTCTGTTTTAAACAATTAAGAATTATTTCAATACAAATAAGTTGGGTCAAAATCCTCTTCTACCTATTTCTATAAAGGAAGCTTTCTCAAAATGAATCTTCTAAAAATAGGGTAGAAGAAAGGGCAGGTAGAAGGAAAAAAAGAGAAAGAAAATAAACTTCATTTACATAGTTTAAAAATAACAGATTGTACTCCATAAAAATAAATAGAGGGGCCAGTGCTGTGGCATAGTAGGTAAAGCTGCCACCTGCAGTGCTGGCATCCGTATGGGTGCCGGTTCAAGTCTCAGCTGCTCCACTTCAAATCCAGCTCTCTGCTAGGGCCTGGTAAAGCAGCAGAAGATGGCCCAAATCCTTGGGCCCCAGCACCCAAATGGGAGACCTGGAAGAAGCTCTTGGCTCCTGGCTTCGGATCGGCACAGCTCCAGCTGTTGTGGCCATGTGGGGAGTGAACCAGTGGATAGAAGACCTCTCTCTCTCTCTCATTCTTTCTCTGCCTCTCTGTAACTCTGCCTTTCAAATAATTAAATAAATCTTTTTAAAAAAGTAAATGGAATAATGGCCAGAAAAGGGCCCAGTATTGTGATACAGGGTAAGCTACCGCTTCTGATGTTGGCATCCCATGTCAGAATGCCAATTCAAGCCCTAGCTGCTCCACTTCGGATCTGGCTCCCTGCTAATGCTCCTGGAAAGGCAGCTGAAGATGGCCCAAGTACTTGGACTCCTGCTACCCATGTGGGAGACCAAGATGGAGTTCCTGGCTCCTCGCTTTGGTCTGGTCCAGACCTGGTTTTTGTGAGCATTTGGCAAATGAACTAATGGATAGAAGATATCTCTCTCTTTCTCTGTCACTCTCTCAAATAAATAAATTAATTAATAAATCTTTTCTTTAAAAAAGGCTAGAAAATTTCATATCACAGATTTCTATTTAACTAATCTATGAATTAAAATTGTTTATGAAGGAATTATGGAAAAAAACAGGCAACTGTGAGCAGCTTACATCCATTTTTCATATAAGAAGTTTAGGAATATCCCGACATAAACTGTATCACTTTAAAACTTGATTTTTCCAATGGAACTATTGTATATGAATACTTTTTAGTATGGTGTTTCACTTTATTAACTAGATTGAAAGAAAAATGCCCTCCCAACAAACACACATACAAACAACACACCTCTGGCAATCAGAGGCCACAATTTTAGAACAAGAAATGCCTCAAATATAGACAGAGTGAATTATAAATCCAAATTTACACATAACTTTAGAACCACTGAGTACTTCAGAGATCAGCTAGCCAAACTGTGTACAAAGTGTGTTTCAAACATGCTTCAGAATCTGTTCTGAGGGACAAGCAAGAGGCCAACTAAGCAGCTCCATTTTTTTTTTTTTTTAAACAGGCAGAGTAGACTGAGAGAGAGAGATAGAGAGAAAGGTCTTCCTTTACCGTTGGTTCACCCTCCAATGGCCACTGCGGCCGGCGCATCGCACTGATCCGAAGCCAAGAGCCAGGTGCTTCTCCTGGTCTCCCATGCTGGTGCAGGGCCCAAGGACTTGGGCCATCCTCCACTGCACTCCCGGGCCACAGCAGAGAGCTGGACTGGAAGAGGAGCGACCGGGACAGAATCCGGTGTGCTGGCGCCACAGGTGGAGGATTAGCCTATTGAGCCGCGGCGCCGGCCCTCCATTTTGTTTTATACATATATTTGCACGTATGTGTGTATATTAAGATTTATTTAAGGCAGAAGAGTGGGAGTGGGGGAGAGAGAGAAGGCAAGGAGAGGTTGAGTGAGAGGGAGAGAACTTCTATCTGATGGTTCACTCCTCAAAAGGCCACAAAGGCCAGAGCTGGGCCAAGGGAAAGCCAGAAGCCTGGAACTCCATCTGGTTTCCCATGTATGTGTAGGGACCCAAAGACTTGGGTCATCTGCCACTGTTTTCCCAGGCACATTTGTGGGGAGTCAACTCAGAAGTGAAGTAACTGGGACACTAAGCAGCTCTCATATATGGGATGCACCCAGCAGTTTAACCCGCAGTGCCACAACATTGGCCCCTCCATTTTGTTTCATGTATTCAGATTCTATGTAAGATAAATTAGGAGAAGTTGAAGGCAAGGCTTGAAAGCCTTCATCTAAATAATCCGCTTCCCATATTTTATGGATGAAGAAGCTAACACTAGGCAAATACAAAGTATCACATATAAGTACTATCAAACAGGATTAAAGTTGTAGCCTTAGAAATTTCCAATTCAATCTTTTTTTTAAAAGATTTATTTTGAAAGTTACAGTTAGAGAGAGAGAAAGAGAGAGAGTCAGAGAGAGGTCTTCCATTCACTGGTTCTCTCCTCAAATGGCCACACAGCTAAGGCTACACTAGGCCAAAGGCAGGAGCCAGGAGCTGCTTCTGGGTCTCCCATGTGGTTGCAGGGGCACAAGCACTTGGGCCATCCTCTGCTGCTTTCCCAGGATGGAAAGTGGAGCAGCCAGTTCTCGAACTGGCACCCATATGGGATGCCATCGGTACAGGTGGCAGTGGCTTAATCTGTTACACCATAGCACCGGCCCCCCAGTTCAATCTTATACCTACCATACCACATTTTATGATTATCCACCTAAAAGTTATTTTAAATAATAAACAGTAAAATTAATGGTAAGAGTCAATAAATACTTACTGGGTATGTTAGAAATACTTTAAATAGTAAAATACCCATAGGTAATGTTTAAAAAATTAGGTCTTTTCAAAGGATCCAAGTATAACAGGCCTTATATTTCCTATGTTTAACATTAAAGAAGTAACTTCCTCTCCAGTGTTCCACATAAAGTGGAATTGAGGTTGCGGACATTTGGTGTAGCTGTTAAGATTCCACCTGGAAGTAACTGGATTGGAGTCTTGACTCCATTTCCAATTCCAGCTTCCTGTTAATGTGCACCCTGGGAGGCAGCAGATGATGGCTCAAAAACCTGGAACTCTGCCATTCTTAACTGGAGATCTGGACTGACATACAAGCTCCTGGCTTTGGCATGGCCCAGCCTTGGCTGTTATGGGCATTTGGAGAGTGAACCAGCAGACAGATCTGTCTGTATCTGTCTCTTTGCCTTTCAAATACATAAATAAGAAAACATTGGGGCAGCTCTTAACGGCACAGTTAAGCTGCTGCTTGGAATGCCTACATCACATATCAGAGTGCCAGTTACAATTCCAACTCTTCTGCTTCTGATTCAGTGTCCTGCTAATGCATCCTGGGAGGTAGCAAGTGATAGTTCAAGTGCTTGGGTCCCTGCCACCCACGTGGGAGATCTGGAACCAGTTCCAGGCTCCTCACTTCAGCCTGGCTCAGGGTTAGCTATTGTGGACACTTAGGAAGTAAACCAGTATAGAGAAGATCTCTTTCTTTCTCTCTGTCACTCTGCCTTTCAAGTAGATGAAAATAACACTAAAAAGGCCGGCGCCGCAGCTCACTAGGCTAATCCTCCGCCTAGCGGCGCCGGCACACCGGGTTCTAGTCCCGGTTGGGGCGCCGGATTCTGTCCCGGTTGCCCCTCTTCCAGGCCAGCCCTCTGCTGTGGCCAGGGAGTGCAGTGGAGGATGGCCCAGGTGCTTGGGCCCTGCACCCCATGGGAGACCAGGAAAAGCACCTGGCTCCTGGCTCCTGCCATCGGATCAGCGCGGTGCGCCGGCCACAGCGCGCTGGCCGCAGCGGCCATTGGAGGGTGAAGCAACGGCAAAGGAAGACCTTTCTCTCTGTCTCTCTCTCTCACTGTCCACTCTGCCTGTGATAATAGAAAAAAAAAAAAAAAAACACTAAAAAAATTCTAAATAAAAGCATAACTATATACTATACTATATACTATAGTATATAACTATATACTATTATAACGTTGCATTCACTAAAATCAAAGGAAAAAATATCAGTTGCTGGTGTATAGATATAAAAATAAGTACTAAAATTAAAGCTATGTTATATTTTTTAACATATATTTATCCTGAATAACAATGGCCAATAATAATTATTGTTAAATTATACTTACTTTACTTTGTTGTTGGAGAAGAGAATGAATGTAAATTTATACTCATGACAGTAAACATTTATGTGCTTAACCAAATGACACATTCGGGACTATGGAGAGACTTTATAAGTCACAAAAGTAAAATTTAGTTTCAAATCATAATCTCACAGCCATACAGGAAATTAGGTTAAAATTATTAACTTATATCAAAAACCTAAACATTGTAAAAAAATGAAATAGTCATAGATACTTTCACTTATAAAGTAAAATAATAATCATTTTAAGTTTTATTATTGCAATTTCAAGATTCCTCCCTGTCCATTGCCTTTCTCCTCATATTAGTTTTGTAAGAGTTCTTACAAAAAACCCATGATCTTAGTATGACATTTTTTCCTAACAGTCGAAAAAAATAATACAGAAAACAAAGAATTCAGTAACATCTTGAAGACAGATTTCATCAATTTTACTATATATCTTTCTGTTGAAATCAATAGGTTAATTTGTCAAAATCTAGAAATAAATTATAACACTTGCAATTAATTTTATACCTCGTTTTTTAGCCTCAGCCACCATCTCATCATATTCTTGTCGATGACGTAAAGCTTCTTCCACAGATTTCGCAGGAAGATTTCTGAGGAAAAAAAATTTACTTAAGCCAATTTTTAAAAGTAAATTATTAATTTTTTATGGTCACATATGAAAATTTTTTTATAATGATTTTTTTTTTTGACAGAGTGGACAGTGAGAGAGAGAGAGACAGAGAGAAAGGTCTTCCTTTTTGCCATTGGTTCACCCTCCAATGGCCGCCACAGCCGGTGTGCTGCGGCCGGCATATCATGCTGATCCGAAGCCAGGAGCCAGGTGCTTCTCCTGGTCTCCCATGCGGGTGCAGGGCCCAAGCACTTGGGCCATCCTCCACTGCACTCCCGGGCCACAGCAGAGAGCTGGCCTGGGAGAGGGGCAACCGGGACAGAATCCAGCGCCCCAACCGGGACTAGAACCCAGTGTGCCGGCACCGCAAGGCGGAGGATTAGCCTATTGAGCCACGGTGCCAACCTACATATGAAAATCTCTAACCTAACCTTCTCCTATGATCTGAAAATGATTTGGCTTCCCAACTCATGGAGATGGCTAAGCTCTAAAGTCATGGAGGAGGTTAATCCAATTATGGTAGCTACCAGGCAGGCCTAGTACTAGGTCTTTATGTTACTGGGGGCACACCTTCAGAAGGTAATTCTCACAAGAGGGCTTGTCTCACAAGAGACTAGCCAGTCCTAGTCTCTCTGCCCCATTTCCGAGATCACCATGTAATCATTCTTCCTCTATCCTCCAGCCTCCCCCAGAAGGCCATGCCATTTAGGCTCACCTGATCCTGGACTGTGAACCTCCAAAAATATAAGCCAAGGAGTAGGCATTTGGCACCGTGGTTAACGCACTGCATCCCATATTGGAGTAGCTGGGTTTGAGTTCCAGTTTTGCTTCCAATTCCAGTTTCCCACTAATGCACACCCTGGGAGGTAGCAGATGATGGCTCAGGTAGTTGGGTCCCACATGGGAGACTCAAGAATTTGCTGCCTGTTTACAGCAAAAATTTGGGGAATGAACTAGTGGATTAAGGATCTGTCTTTGTCTCCATCTATCTCTACCTCTCTAACTTTCAAATAAAATGAAAATTAAAACATTTTTAAATGTAAGCTAAAATAAACCTCCTTCCTCCATTAGTAGCCTGTGTTGGGTATTTGCTATAGAAGTGAAAACCTGAGTAATAAACCATCTCATTTCATATATTAAGAAAGTGAAAAGGCAAAAAAAAAAAAAACTCTGTATTTTTAAAAAAGTTTTATTTACTTATTTGTTTGAAAGGCAGAAAGAAAAACATAGAAAAAGAAAGAAAACACTAAGATGACCAGTGGCCAAAGTCTGGAGCTGACAACTTAATCCAAGTTTCCCATGTGAGTAGCAGGAACCTAATCACCTGAGCCATCACTGCTTCTTCCAGGGTCTGTATTAGCAGGAAACTAGAATCCAAAGCTGGAGCTAGAGGTCAAACTCAGGCACTCCTATGTGGGACACAGGTATCCTAACCAGTGTCCTAACCGCTTGGCCAAACATTTACTCCAGAAGTCGTTTTAAAACAGAATCCAAATCTAGGTTTCTAATATTTGTTGGATATATGGGGCCGGCACTGTGGCACAGTAGGTTAATCCTCTGCCTGCGGCACCGGCATCCCATATGGGCGCCGGTTCTAATCCCGGCGTCCAGCTCTTTGCTATGGCCTGGGAAAGCAATAGAAGATGTCCCAAGTCCCTGGGCCCCTGCACCTGCGTGGGAGACCAGGAAGAAGCACCTGCCTCCTGGCTTCAGATCGACATAGTTCCAACTGTTGCAGCCATTTGGGGAGTGAACCAACAGAAGGAAGACCTTTTTCTCTGTCTCTCCCTCTCACTGATAACTCTACCTCTCAAAAAAATAAACAAAATCTTAAAAAAAAATATTTGTTGGATATGTGTGGTGTGTGTATCATGTGCCTGTAAGTTTACACATATTTGAACATTTCATATTTCAGTCCATATTTTAAGTCCAGTTATTAGAGTTTTCCTTTTTTCTTCTAGATTTAAAAAAAAAATGACAGAGACAAGGATACAGAGAAACAAAGAAGGAGACATAGAAAGTTATCACTGATTGATTCAGTCCCCAAAGATATGCAACAACCAAGGCTGAGCTAGGGCTGGAACAATCCAGATCTCTCACATGGGTGACAAGAACCCAACAACCTGAGCAATCATCACTGCCTCTCAGGAGCTGCATTGGTGGGAGGCTAGAGTCAAAAGCCAGAGTTGGGAATCAAACCCAGGCATTCTAGTTTGGGATAAAAGGGTCTTAACTGCTGGCCAAATACCTGCTGTACATTTTCCTGTTTTATGTATGATTTGCATATAATAAAATGAATAAACATTTTAAGAAGAGTCTGATGAGTCCTGACAAATGTATGTACTTGTGTAACTAATATACCAAGTAAGATTCAGAAAATTCCTCCCATCATTCCACAACACTGTCCTGTGATCCTTTTGTACTCAATATTTACCCACCTCCTACATTACAAAATCACATCTCTGATTTCTATCACTAGTAATTAATTTGTTGCCTTTTAAAGACTTTCACCTAACTTCCACCCCAGCAGTCACTGGCTGTGCTACTCCATAGCCACGGGCCTCAACAAAGGCCACAAGGTGACCAAGAAAGTGAACAAGCTGAGAGATATAGCCGCTGCCGCAATTACCTAACCAAGTACACCAAGTTTGTGAGGAAGATGATCCAGGAGGTATGCGGCTTGCCCCCGATAAGTGCCAAGCCATGGAGCTGCTCAAAGTCTCCAAGGACAAAGAGGCCCACAAATTCATCAAGAAAAGAATGGGGACACACATCCACACCAAGAGGAAGTGGGGAGCTGAGCAGCATCCTGGCTTCCATGAGGCAGTGGCTGCCAAGAAAGACTGAGCCTGTCTCCCTTTACATAATAAACCTTTCCAGGCCCTCAAATAATAATGATTTCATCTAGGTTCATTTTGCTCAGCATGTTTTTGGAAGTCATCTGTACTGTCTTAGTAATATCCTTTTAATTACTGAGAAATAGTCTATTTACCCATGTGGATGGACATTTAAGTGATTTTCAGTTTGGGGTCATTCTGAACAAAGCTATTAAAATATTAACAATCAAGTCTATTTCTGGGCATTGCTTTCACTTCCCTTGAGTAAGTACCTAGGAGAATTTTTCAGTCATAGGTAAATGCTGGTATATCTTTATAATAAACTGCTCAACTAATTTCAACTTGTTAGCATGTTAAGACAATGTTCTGGGGCCGGCGTGGCTCATTTGGTTAATCCTCTGCCTGAGGCGCCGCCATCCCATATGGGCACCAGGTTCTAGTCCAGGTTGCCCCTCTTCCAGTACAGCTCTCTGCTATGGCCCGGGAGGGCAGTGGAGGATGGCCCAGGTGCTTGGGGCCCTGCACCCACATGGGAGACCAGGAAAAAGCACCTGGCTCCTGGCTTCGGATTGGTGCAGCACCAGCCATAGAGGCCATTTGGGGAGTGAACCAACGGAAAGAAGACCTTTCTCTCTGTCTCTCTCTCTCTCTCACTGTCTTAACTCTACCTGTCAAATAAATTTTTAAAAAAAGACAATGTTCTAACTACTAATTTGATAATCTACTAATCCTTTGCATATACCATATTTTGGTTTATCAAATCAATGGCTTCAGAGTCAGTAATTTAGATATATGAAATGCAAAAAGAAATATATTTGCACATGACCACATACATGAATATATTTTTATATCTGTTCTAAGTCATGTTATACATGATCACTTATACAGTTTTATATATCGGGTTTTTTATATCAGTTTTAAGAATCAGTTGTTTTCAACAAAAGAGACAGGGAAATGTATATGACAAAAAGCTTCACATTACAAGTTCTAATTCCTCCTCTAATCTCAACTTAGATTAGATTCCTCAAGTATGTAGTAGCAAAGAGGAACAAAATTTAAGACTTCTGTTTTGGTTAAGTATACAGTAAGAGACTTAGGTTTAACCTGCTTGCCTTAAATAACTAGAAAAATAGGCAATATATATTCATATTTTTAAGATTTTATTATTTACTTGAGAGCCAGAGTTATAGACAGAGAGGGAGAGACAGAAATGTCCTCCATCTGCTAGTTCACACCCCAAATGGCAACAACAGCCAGAGCTGAGCTGATCCAAGCCTAGAGCCAGAAGTTCAGTGTCTCCCACATGGCGGCAGGGGCCCAAGCATTTGGGCCATCTTCTACTGCTTTCCTAGGCTATCAGCAGAGAGCTGGATTGGAAGAGGAACAGCTGGGACACGAACCAACACCCATATGGGATGCCAGCACTGCAGGCATCTACTTAGCCCATTACACCATAGCGCTGGCCACAGCAAAATATGTTAATCAGTGTGCTTGAGTTTATTGCCTAGAGCTTCCAGGTCTCAGTGGTGGAAGAGAGTACACAAACAAGGTCCATCAATCTTCCTGAGTTCAGGAGGGGGCTTGGAGATGGGAAGTCCACACAGCTAGAAATTGTGTATTAGAGATCCAGAAAGAAAGGAGTTTTAGGGAATACCTTCAAGTCTTTGGTTGAGTGCTGATTGCTGTATGTGTGTGATTAAACTATGGCCAGGGACAGAACCACCAGAAAGGAACAGTTAGAACATTCTCAAAGACCACATGGGACTAGCCAGAGTGGAAAAAACTCCTAATAGATAAGAGTATCAGGTAAAGTCCTTAAATAGGTATTCTCTCAGGATTAAGGAAAAATTAACTGTAGACTAAATTATATTCTGGAACCACTCTCACAAAACTACATCAAAAGGATCAAACGAATTCCAATTACCTGCATAACTGACCAAAGCCAAAAAATATTTCATAGGACTCACACATACCACACACATACACACATAGTCCAGCATACAACTATATAAATCACAATGTCTGGCATCCAATAAAAATTATCATAGATGTAGTATACAAATATAATTCATAATAAGAAAAAAATCAAGCAGCAGTAGTAACACAGAAATGTCACAAGTAACAGGATAATATAAGAATGACA